TCTTACTGAAATACTCTGAAAATTTCCTCATTTAATACATTTATAATGAAAGTATTCTTATCGCATTTAAAAGCATATAATGTCAATATTTCTTAAAGATCATTGCACTGCAAACGAGGCTAGGCTCTTAACTATATAATGTTTGTCGGGAATAAAGAAAATTTGTATCATAGTAGACGACTTTATTTCTTAACATCTATTATTGAATTTACTAAAAATCTGGCATTCGAGTTCCGAAGCTTCATTAAAACAAGATAACGGATAAATTTAACGATAAATTTCTTGGGAGAAAAATACAATGAAAAGTTGAATGCTTGACCGTTGCTATTCATTCGAAACGATAACGGGAGAACAAGTACGTCTCGATACGACATTTACAAGACGTGTTTTTTATAAAACTACCACGAGTCGATCGAAAGTTACAATTGACCCAATAACGATTTAAATATGTCTACTTCCAATTAACATTTCTCTAAAGAACAAATTTTATGATTTTATGATATAAAAAATCTTTCCATACTTTGAAAATGGGTAAAATGATTTTATAGTCAAACAAATGCCTTGTAGATTCTGAAAAGTGAAAGAAAGAGGCACGCAGTGAAAATGTATTCATTTTTGTCGAAGGTGTAGTAACTATAAACACAGAAAATAGATCAGAACGCACCTGAAACTTAAAACGACTTAAAACGACTGTGAGAGGAAAAGGTGTACCTCGATCTTGAACTCAACGAACCAAAGTGACAGTTACCTGACGATTATTACGCGGTCATGGTCGGCCCGTGAAGCAGAACAGTGGAAGAGTACGATACCTTATTCACTTGAACGATTTTCTCTGCTAACCTCATCGTCGAGTGACGTGGACTGATATAAAGCAGTGATACATACATCAAGCTACCAATTTACTCCATGCCAAGAAATTTATTCCATCAGATCTTTTCAGTAAAAGCCAAGTCTTAAATCTACATCTTTAGCCAAAGTATTGTTCACTGTCTGTCTAACGAGATGTATTCCATTTACACCTCAAAGGGATGTCAGAGCCGTTGCGATTTCTCCAATAAAGATCGACTTTTTTGGGGGGCAATTTGCAAGAAGAAATCCCGATTGACTTAATATTATTTTTAAAATAAGGAATAACCAATATAGCAAATTGCATTTTATTAAGTGGAAATAACGAATTATGTATTCAAGCCATTCATACAAGAATAAATTTTGCGCACCACTAGTATCAGATTAGAAACAGGACGTCAGCATTATGAGTTTATAAAAGTGATGGCAGTCTTTAACGGTACATTGCCAGACGACTGACCCGCTGATGATTCCCGACTATACTATAAACGTACGTATGTATTACAGTACTCGGAAGTTGTAACCGGCTTCTAGACATCAAATTCTATTCCGTTCGTCAGCTACTTCCACGATAACTTCACGACATACAATATTTTAAGTAGTTTCACGTGTATCAACAAAACAATTCTTTCTATTCTTTCAGATCATTGTCCAGACCGTTGGCGAAAGCTGCAATCAGGTTTTGAAAAAGGAAAAAACAATAATTATTTTTAAACTATCATTTTAAGTCATTTTCTATAATAGAACATGCGTATAACAATAGAAAACTGCTTTTCAAACTTAGTTTTCAGTACAGTTGTCAAATTGAGATAAAAGACGAATTTGATATCCGCAGAAAAACTGTGAAATTTTTCAACTAATTAAAGCAAAAGAAATAGTGTATCCGATTGTGTAATAATGTTTACGAATTGATGGTTGACACACCTGAGTCTTGAACAATTTCAATATTACTTAAGCGAGTGCAGATCACTTTCAATTAATTTTATGACAACAGCTGTTGCGCACGGAAGTTGACACTTAACCCAAATATGCAGTTTCCGGGTGCGATCAGCTAAAGTCCGATCAACATTGGACAAATACAATGAAATACTGAAGATTGTTAATTTCCTCCGACAGATTCCTCTTTTTAGAAAATAAATTCAAGGACTCATTCACCTTGCACGACTTTTCATTAACAGATGACAAAGATGGAAAAAAATCCTTTTCACAGTCAAGGACACTTGAGAGTTCTGCACCAATCCTGATAATTGAAATTAGTTTATCCCTGATTTAGAATTTATGAATTTATAATGATGTTAATGATGTAATTATTTGTGTACAACTTTTAATCAATGGTATTACCTTTAGAGTAATATTTGTAAAATTATTCTGTTAACTGTTTCTTTATTTTTTGCTAAAGTTAGAAACAAGGTGTATTGAATTCTAACTAACTGATTTTTTTCGACAACTTGAAGGGTCAATCAATGAAGGTATACGTATAATATGAGTCCTCGCACGCAACAGAAGGTAATTCATACGATGGCGTCCGCAGGAGCGCGTTGTATTGATCGAATGTCTGGCGTCGCAATGACTGCAGAAAAGAGCCAACTCAATCGAAACTTGTCTTTAAGAAAAAAGAACAATACAAACGATACTCGGTTTCTAATTGTGGAATAATCAATCAACGCTTCATTTAGATCACTAAATGTGAACACTAAATGTGTTCTACGTGTCTACTATTAAAATTTTAAGAAAAAATATGTTTAATAAAAATAAAAGATGAATATAAACATTTAAACATAACTTTACAAATTAATATTATATAAGTGAACAACCCAGGTGCGAATTTTGGTCGGCCGCCAGAGTTGGCAGGTCGGGCCCAGGTCGGCCCATCTATGGCTGCCAATAGGTCGGCAGCCAAAGTCGGGCCGACTTTGGTTACTGTTTCCACCCAAGGTTGGGCCGACTATGGGTGCCAGAGTTTAGAGAACCTAATTTTAGTTGGTCGGGCCGACTCTGGCCTGAGTCGGGCCGATGGTCGGTAAAACTATGGCAGCCAGAGTTTAAAAAACCTAATTTCTGTTGGTCGGGCCGACTCTGGCCTCAGTCGGGCCGATGGTCGGTAAAACTATGGCAGCCAGAGTGTAAAAAACCTAATTTCTGTTGGTCGGGCCGACTCTGGCCTGAGTCGGGCCGATGGTCGGTAAAACTATGGCAGCCAGAGTTTAAAAAACCTAATTTCTGTTGGTCGGGCCGACTTTGGCCTCAGTCGGGCCGATGGTCGGTAAAACTATGGCAGCCAGAGTGTAAAAAACCTAATTTCTGTTGGTCGGGCCGACTCTGGCCACGGTTGGCCCGACCATCTTAAAAAATATTTCTATACTGCCATGGTAGAAATTAAAAGTTTTTGTGTTAATTATTTTAGCTAAAATGGATTAAACAAAAACTAATAAACGTTATCTGATTTATTAATCGTTATGAATTACAAATTTCTTTTTTTAAATTGCAGCTTATAAATTCATTTTTGTTCTTAGGCTTTCATGTAAGCGTAGCGTAATGGTTAGCGTGTTAGACTTCGGTGCGTTAGGTTGCGAGTTCGATCCCTGCGAGCGTTAGAAATTTTAATTTGTATTTATGTATAAGATTGCGTCTAGTGTTAAGATGAATGCGATAAATAAATAAATAAATAATGAATATTAAGATATCACTTAATACCTGTTAATTGTAAAGTTAATAATTTTTTGCAAACGGTCGGCCGACTATTGGCTGCCAAGGTCGGCACGACCATAATTGCCAAAATGAAGCCGACCTTCTTTCTCATGGTCGGGAAAACTTTGGCACCCCTGGTCGGCCCGACTTTGGCAACCATAGTCGGCCCGACCATGTCAGCCACTGGACGGCGGGTGTTACAATTCGCTAGTTCGGCCGACCTTTGGCTGCCAAGGTCGGCACGACTATCCACTTGGTCGGCGCGACCATGGCCCGACCAACTTTTCGCACCTGGGAATAGATGCTAGTTTTTCATCTTTGAAATGTGGTGGTTTATTATTATATCCATCGTGCTTCATAAGGAAGAAATTACATAAGAAAAGGCTTGCGGCTTGATTGAAATAGACAGTAACAAGTTCAGGTTTACACAAAGTTAAAAGAGTAAAGTTTGAAATTCTATAAGAAAGTATATACCACAACTTGGTTAATTTGCAACAGGTAGTTACATACATATCATGGCGGTAAAGGAACCAGTCTAACTTCTTGTCAGATCTTGAAGATATAGATTTACAACCCCAAGAATATTTTTGTGACCTTAGAGGTGCTGAGTGAAAAAATACACTTGTCACTCTAAAGACCGACTATTTTTGTTCTTGAACAATATAATCGCTTAGAAAAAAAATATTTAAAAAAAGTATCCATTGTCCACGAGTTTTCAGAAATATATCGCAATGTTTACTTTACGTAATTTAACCGTTGTATAATCAATTTTTTTCAATATTTTCGGTGAAAGTTATGTACTTGAGAATATGAAATAAAAAGGTACGAAAATAATCGTTTGAAAGTTTCTCCACGCGATAATTAAAGTACTTTATACTTTTAATATTAATTTTTATCATTTTTATTTAACAAAATTTTTAAACTTATTTATTTGTTCCACAAACAAATAGTAATGAAAAATAGTAACTTGAGTTTTAATAGGGAAAAAATGACCGACTGGCCTAACCTACTTTCGCAAAGGTAAACTCATCTTCCCTCGTCTTTCATAGGATTGAAAGAACCACCTTACTAAAATTCTTATGCACCTAGATTGGTTTTAAAATTACCCCAGAAAAGGGAAAGGATTTTTCAATCAGGTCCCTTTGAAACAAAATTTCAAAGTAAGAAAACGTAAAAAGTACCTTCATGAAAATAACGCCACAATTGTCTTTTTAAACAAATATTTACAAACATAAAAGTTCTCTATCAATAAATGTTTTGAGTTCAATGACCTTAAGAAATGCAACTTCGTGGTTCTTGGTCGGTTTATTTCGAGTCAGTTTGAAATGCAATAAGAAAACAACAAAAAAACTCCCGCCTACCAGGTCGTCAACTGAACTCTTAAAATTAATCTAAATTTTTAATCATCTTTCATATTAAAAAAAGTTTTAATAAAAAAATGATCAACTTTCTTAAAAATGACTCACCTTTAATCGTTTTGGCTGTTAAGTGTCCAGCACCCTGCAAGAAAGAAAAAAACCAAATTTACTAAATAATAAATTATTTTCAAATTTCCAATTTTTAAATAATACAGATAAGTTATGTAAATAATGTTTATTTAAAGACAAGGATGTCAGCACGATAGCCTTTTAAATTGTCCTTTTTCGCAGAAAACATGTGGGAGGAAACATAATTGAACGCAACTCAACTCTTGGATAATAATTATGCAAGAGACTTACGCGGTCCTATCCAAAGCACGCAATACAGTCTAAATATTTTTTTTTCTATACATTCAACGGAAATTCAGGCGTGTCTAATTACAGATTGCTTCCATTTTGTTTCCGTTGGCCAAACATTTGTGAGGAATATGTGACACGCAACCCAAATATATTTGGAACCATCCCTTATATTAATAAAAATGGCTAAGTATAATAATAACTTGATGCGAAATTTAATAAAAAAAAATCCAAGGTCCCTGAAGTTAGCGTCGAAAACAAGTTTTTTCAAGTCGAAAAGAATGAAAAAATTAAAGAAAAGCCGACGCTAACTTCAGGGACATAGAATTCAACTGTTTTAAAAAATAATTCTTGTGCATCACTATGAGGGTATGTATTTTATTTTTGCAAGTCAGTAGAATTTTTCGGAGAAAGAAATTACAGCAGGATACGATGCCCCTGATGCACTTGCCAAGAGAGTGCGTTTAACATCTGTGAAACTTGACCCTTCTCCAAGACAAGAAAAACTTTGGTTGCAAAGAAGCTGAATAACAGCAGTAGAAGATTTCACGGATAAGGGCAATCAAGATTTGCGTCTTTCTCTCTTCTCTACACATATACGACGCAGCTTCATGTGATTATAATTTATCCGGAAATTAATTTCATTTTTTCAAAAGCTATATTCATAAATTCACATCCGATATTGTCAATAAAAAATCCCCAATAATTTTTAAATGATTATAAACTTAATTGTAGAGACGAGCTTTGAAATCGGAAATTTGAGAGGTAGTCCCCTTATTTTACAGAACGGTTTAATCAAGTTGACCATAATTTAATATCAGTGCCAAGGACGAATAGGCAACAGGCAAGATGGAAGTTTGCGCACAAAATGTCGGATCTATTAACTTAATTCTCCAAGAGTCCAAGTTGACAATTGTCTATTAATCTATAATTGCATAAAAATGTACAAAACCACTTTTCATTATGTGTAAAAAAATCTTTTTTTCCTCCGAGTTTCAAATACCTACAAGATACCTACATTATATTCCAACTCATGCATCATTGATTCGATAGCATTGGAATTATTGTAGTGAGAGAGAAAAATTAAAGACCTTGTAAAATATGTTCAATCAAAAGTAAAATTGAGAATGTATAATGTATATTATCTAAACAATTTATGTGGAAAATAAATCTAATAAAGAATTTATGTCTATTTGAAAAATATTAAATAGAATTGTTTGTTTGAGAGACAAACTAAAATCTATATGTGACTACACCTGCTTTGTCTAGAAAGAAAGAGTGCGTGACGAAAAATGCTCATTCCCCCAAATACATAAAATTTTTACTCCACACAGGCTATTGGGCCTTTAGTAGTCTAGCCAATGTGTATACACGTTTTATTGACTTTTACTTCAATATTCGTTTTCGAACACCAACCACAAAGAGTTCAGGTATATAGTAGACCTAAACAATTATATAAGGGAGTTTTTTTTTCAAATTTTTACCCAAGCTTCTTACATGAGTAGTGATGAGTAACATTTGTCTACTTTCGGGATTCTGATTAATAAATCTTTATCAAAATTTTAGACACGAATTGTTTTATCAAGAGACAGTAAAAAGATTACCAATTTGTTGTCAATAATTAATTAATAACAGCTTCTGCACTTAAAATAAATATCATCGCAGAGAATATTAAAAATGAAATCCAACGATAATAATAAAGCTTAAATAATATATCTTTGAAATCATTATCAACTAAAATTCTTTCTTTCATAAAATGACACCAAATTCCTTTCATAATAATATTTCATATTATTATCAACAACATTAAAAAAATACCTTTCTCATGAATAAAAACTGTGAATAGAACAATACTTTTTTTCTTCCGCATTATCCTGCTATATTGTGATTATAGTTTAATGCTCAAGTTTATGACCATAAATTACCATCCTTTAAAGAATTGAAATGTAGAAAGATGTTTCATTATATTTGCATTATATTTTAAAGAATATACTTGAAAAATATTTGAAAAATAATCCCTTATTAAACAAATGACAAACTTCAATACAAATTTTGAATAAGTAACTAGTATAATATTTTTTTTCGAATAATAAAGATGACTTACCTATAAAAGAAAAATTTTGGAAAGTAATCTTTAAGTAAATAAAAAATTAATTAACCTCAAAAAAAGTCATTAGAACCATTAGAACACAGATATAATCTTTGTATGAAAGAAAACTTTGTTTTGGTCTTAATGGACAACTAATTACAGAATGCTAATGAAATGAAAAAATAAAGAACTGAAGAGAATTAAAGAATAATTTATTTCCGTTTATCAAAAATAAAATATCCATTTTTGGGATCGATGAGCCCATAAAATTCTGAACTCTATCATAGAAAAGGTCATCTATTTATTTAAGCCTAGGTCATTTACCCTTGGCATCGACTTTCATTTGCATTCAAACGAAATTATTGAAGCAAAGAATAAATATATTCCCGTTTCATATAACAATTTTTCAACAACAACAACAACAACAACAACAGATAAAATAACAGATAAAATAACACTGATAACGCAGTAATTAATATATTGTAAAATTTAACGCATTTTTCAAAAACTCGGTCGAAATTTTACTATGTTTATAAGATCTCATTGTGCACCGCTATACTTTTTCCAATGAGTAAGAAAATATGTTTCTATTATTTTAAAATTAGAATATTTTAAAACCAGCGAGGTTTATAGATTGAAACATAGAGCTACCATTTATACACGATTATCACAGCTGGCTCTGCTCCAGATACCAAGGCTGTATTAGACGAAAATAATTCAAAATGCCCACTACCATTTCACATGTTTTGTCCACCAGGAATTTTTATTTTTTTTTTTTTCATTTTTTTCATTTTTTACTATACAAAAGAAAATTAATAAATCCACAAAAATAAATATTTTTCCCTTTAAATGAAACCAAAACATAAACAATCTCATACTATAATAATCCATTATACGAGATTTTAAATACAACAACAAAATGTTAATTATTGAAAATTTTGAAAATCTTAAACTAATATGACAAATAAATAATTTTAGTCTTCCAACTCTCTAAATTTGAATTAGTAAAAATTTACTAACACGTTAACTTAATAGAGTCTATTGTAACGAATTGATACCAAAAATGTGTATTTAAAAAATAATCTATATTTTTGGCATCAACTTGATCCAGTTTAGTTTCAGTTTGATACGTTTTCAAGAAAACTGCAAATTCAAAAGCAAAAAATCGGTATAAATTAGTAGAAATTACTATTTATTAGCCAAATTTATTATAATTCAAAAGCATTTCTTCTTTCAATGTCCAAATTAGTAAACATTTTTAGTTTTTACTAATTCAAATTTAGAGAGTAAAACCGAAATAAAACACTTTCAGACCACAGGTTTCTGAAAAGCAATACCACAGTAAACATTAGAACGAAATTCGATATTTAAATACAGGTTTTTCTCGATACAGATTCTTTCTAGAGGCTCTTTAGATAAACTATATGCAGAAGGGAAAAATGTGGGTCAGACGCGTTCTATCAATCGTGTATGCTATTTATATAGTTATTCACGTGCGTTAAATCTTTGGTCTAGTACTCATATATACTCATAATTTTTCGATGACCTCAAACAAAAAAAGTCTTTTGTTCATTATCTACAAGTATAAACATAAATAATGTTATGAGTCAAGGAATTTCTAAACAGAAGATATTGCTAATTGTCGTCCACTGTTCAATAAATTATTTAAATTCTTGTTAAAATAACATTGTATAAACAAAACTGATACCAGATACAGAATGTGTTGAAAAAAAATTTATTTAATTCATGCAGCTCGAGTCATCACACTGACGTCATGTGACAATTAAATTCCAACTCTGTTAACCGGATGTTACATACCGGCTTAACCATAGTAGAGATCTACATCATTTACAATAGTATTTGTATATTTATAGTAAATAATAGTCAAAAACTATAAATGCTTAAAATAATTTTTTAATTTTAAAGTCTTGATAGAAGATGTAAATTGTAATAGATGCACTTTGAAATGATTGTGCAAACAGGACAATGATGACTTATTAGGAAGAGAAAATGAAAGTTTCGCTTAATCTGGTTTGTATATCAGCAGATAAATATATTCTGACATAGATGTATGAGGTAAATGCACCAAGTTAAAACAACACATCGCATCGTCCCTTCTACGCAAGTAACCGCTAAGTAAGAGCTGTGGTTTATGCAATTCTATAAAGGCGTATCCGCAAAAGGTTCTTTAGCGTTTAGCCTCAACCGTCACGTGGGCATTTACGAATCAAGAATCTTAGCACTCTGAATTCACGTACTCGTCTTTCAACAATTTAGACAAGGTATAATCTTTTTCAATTCGAGTCAGGTTTGAATAACGTAAATGTATTCGGAACTAAATTACACACTTTCATAGGAGTCTTTTTTTAAAAATGCAGATCTAAATTCGTTCGACAATTAAAATTGCTATAAAGGACTTGACTTATTTATCAGTTACATAACAGTGTATATACAACAATGTACTGTATCCACATCAACATATACACGAATTGTTTGTTATTATCCATTTGCATAGACACGTACTTGAGACATTGGCCAACCATCATTACACCAATGTCTGTCATTAAGTTTCAATGAATTTATATTAATTGCAATGACAAGTTGTTTGATTTTCAGATTACCTTTTATGATCTGTCAACAAATGTTATACAAGGAACGAATGGGGTCGATGCAGCGTTTAATTAACACCAATGGGTTGGAAGAAGCTATTCAATGCAAAAATAATTCAATACAATCACCGATTTTATTTAAAAAAAAAAAAACAAAATAAAAAAAGAATACTACCGATGGTAATCCTGAAAACTATTCACTCAATGTCTGGTCTCTTGATGATGTCACTGTTTAAACATAGAGATTATCATTCTCAAAGCTCATAACGCAGTCAGCACAACAGCTTTAGAAACATTCATATCTGGTACATATTTTTTAATCAACAATTCTTTATTCAAGAATTCAAGAATAAAACAAGTTTCAAAGATTTTACTACTGAGAATCGTAAAGGTCAAAAGATTTATTCACAAGCTTCACAAGTGATGTCGATTAAAGAAAAATTTCGAAAGTGTTCTCGATATGATATTTTAATCATTTCCCTACTTCATGTTATAATAAAACTTTTACAATCCAACCGACGCTTTTATGATTCCTATATTTTTGGATATTCTGTCAAAAAAAAATTTATCACCTACAATATAAATTTTTACCCTAACTAACACTAATAAAAAAATCAAATATCAACAAAAAAAACTCACCAATCAAGTCACTTGGGAGAACGAGAGAAGTGTGAAAAAACCATTGAGTTAGTGACGCTTCCTGGAATGAATTCCAGTATCCCGCCGAGAAAATAATTCCTTTTAAAAAACGAACGCGTTTACAAAAATTCACCACTTTAAATTAAAATCTCAGTTAAGTGAGAGAAACACTTTTTTCATTTATTCTTTAACACTATCACACAAACATTATTAACACAATCTATTCTTGAGAGTTGTTACGCTGAAAAATGCGATTAAGTATTAAAACAACATGTGGACGAGTCGATGTCTCAACGCCGTTTGTGAAACAACTTCGAGACTCGGTGTCTGTTCGTAAACAAAAAAAAAGTAAGGGTTGGTGACTCCCACCAGTTAACCGATTCTGTCCTAAACCAATCGCACGTAAACCGTCAGACTTGGATGATTTTCGCTCTCTATAGAATATGACTACCAGTCACGATTGGTAAATAAAACTCCTCGCGCCTTTTCTCTCTTTGCAATTGCATAAAACAAAACCCTAAGTCGTAAAAATAAAAAGTATACCTTGTAATTGTAAAAAATGTAACGAACACCGTGAAACACGGAGAAAATATTTTCTTTACATAAAAAGTTAATTTTACACGAAAAATTAATTGAACAGTATTGATCTTTTACACTATGAAAAATCAGTGGTGCTTTGTTAATATTAAATTCGAAAGGCCATATCAATAATTCAAGATTAAGACCTTGAGCAATATTCTATAATTTTTAATCAAATTCAAACAAAATATCAATTAAATTACGTTCATTAAAGTCAAATTTAATAACAATGGCTAAAATACCAATACAGATCCAAAATGGGAGAGTAAACTTGATTCTTGTTCAAAATGCACCAATTTTTAAGAAAGTAACCAAAAAATACGTATAACGACTCGATTTAATTGGTTCATATTAAAAATATTCTAAATTCAGAAATATTTGTCTAAAAAATTGTCATTAGAAATTTTAATGATACCCAAAATGTTACAAACCTGATCGTTTACAAAATAACCGAATTCGTTCAGAAAAAGCCGACAAAAGAATAAATGGCGGTTTGTTTTTACAATAACTCCCTGGATTACTTTTTACCAATATAAAAAGAACTGATCAATAAAATTTGTTTTTAACTAAAAAATTTGCTTAACAAGAAATGTTATCTCTAGAGAAAGATTATGAATCGTATTTTCTCCAAACTACACTGTGACACACCCCTAGCAGTTAGTAAAATTTTGTTAACCAATTTTAATCGGATACGAAGCATTGATATCGAAATTCTTCAAAGAAACATTAGTTATTTGCAATTTTCTAAATAATAGGCGTTAACTTTTTACTCACCTGTTGAAAAGTTGAGATATTTGTGTGGAGTAAATTTCGATGTACCTTGTCTACGAACTGTTTGACTTTCCAAGAATCGCCGAGCGGTTACTACGTTCGGCGGATGTACTCCCTCGTGGTACTTATCCAAACTAACAACTAAAGAGCACCACGAGGCCGGTGCTTTTTTCAATATACTAGCTTATCACTTTACAAATAAATTTTGACAAATTCCACGACAAAATTGCATAGCTAAGCAGCTTCTTTCAATGCAAGAACAAACGAATCGATTAGCGCGATCGCAAAAGCGTCACCTTTCACTGTCCGGCGCGCATCTCTCTTATGCGCATACTCCTCAGGTGTGTGTTCCTAAATGCATCGAAATTTACTTCAAAATGGCTGCGCTACCAGAGGGGGAAAGAAAAATGTCAACCAATAGGAATTACTTCTCGTGCTGTTGAAACTTTCTCATTGGTTGAGTGAAAGTTCTAACAGAATTGTTCCTACTGTGACAAGTAAACAAGAAATTTTGTTTTTAAAAAATAGAAAGTACTTTCAGTTCATTCTTTAAAAAAAAAAAAAATGTCCTAAAGAGAACTTGAACATTAATTAAAAAGTTATTAATAAAACTATTTAATAACTAATTGAGATTATTTAAAAAAGTTGCGCGGAAATGTACTTGTGCAATCAATTGTAACTGTGAACGACACTTATTTTCTAACCTAACTTTTATAGTTTGCAAATCTCAACAGGCTCAACGCTCAACAGGCTCAACAGTAATGCGAGTCTGTTTCATAGTAAAAAGTGTAGATTAAATAATCTATTGTTAAAATTGCAATCCTTTATTGGATGCATTTAATTCTGTTATTTGAGATATGTTATAATTATCGTGAAATACAGGTAAGAATATTTTCTTATTTTCATTGAAATTTTAGAGAGAAATTTATAGCTAAAGTCTACTTGTAGCACGTGTTTTTATTTTTGCTTTAACAATTATTACTTTCTTTTATCTAAACTCAATGTTTATAATTTTTGCAGAGAATCTATGAAAATTAATCTTAAACTAATAAAATAGAATAGTTGAGTTAATTTTCATTAAAAAAAATTATGGATCTATTGGCGAATAATATCGTCTCAAAATCTGAATCTAAGAAGAAAAATCTCAAAACTGAGACAAAAAAATTTAAAAAAAGCTCTAATCCTATTAAAAAAATGTCTCCAGGAAAAATTAGTAAAAATAAGAAATTATCTAAAGTAGATAAAACTAAGAAGAAAATTCTTAAGGAAAATTTGAAGAACGTAGAAAATGTAAGTTCTAATAAAGTAAAAAAGACTGAAAATTCATTAAAAGAAGTATTAAAAAGTAAAGAACTCAAGGGTAGTAAAAAAAATAAAGAACAAATTTTGCCACAAAAAAAAGAAATTGTCATCACTATTAAAGAAGAAAAGAAACGAAAGAGTAATGAGACGGAAAAATTACCTAAGAAAGTGAAAAAAATGAAACAAGAGAAACAAGTTTTGGAAGATAACAAACACTCGACTGATGTAAATCCGGATTTGCAATTATCAACAAATCAAGTTAAAAAAGGTGTTGCAGCAATTTTAAAATTAGCGAATGCTGAAACTACTGCAGAAAAATGTCTAATGGCGGATGAAAATTCACCAATTTTCTTACAAGTGTGTTGTATAAAAATTCCAAAAACACCTTCTCGACAAATGAGAATGTAAGTATTCTTAATTTACGTTCAATATTTTAAACCAAATATTCAAATTTTATTAATAAAAAATTTTCAACAGTCAAAAGAATACTAATGATAAAAAATAATTTGAATATTTTCAAAGGTTTAAAATATTCGATATTCATAAGTCTTGTTTTTCATGATTATATTATTAAAAAAAACTCCAATTGATCCTGATGAATATCAATGATTCTAAAATTATATATGAGAAAACTAAATATTTAAAAGTATTTGCTTGTGCATATTTTAACAATAATTATAATAGGAAAATTATTTATTCTGATTTAAGGTTACTTCCACATTCTTTGGTGTCCCCTGAAGATGACGTCGCTTTAATTGTGAAAGATTTGAAGAAAGGTCGCAGAACTGACTATGAACCGACAGTTGATCATTTTCGCCAATTACTCGATGAGCATAAATGTAAACAGGTTAAAACTATTATACCCGTAAATCAACTTAAAACTGAATACGATCAATTTGAACTGAAGCGAAATCTGGTGAACAGTCATGATTTTTTCCTTGTCGATGGAAGAGTTTCCGGACACGTCGCACGACTGCTTGGAAAGACTTTTACCAAAAGACGAAAGTTACCAACTTCGATTAGAATGGGCAGCAAGGATTTAAAACATGAAATTGATCACGCACTTAATAAGACATCAATGCACTTAAATTCAAATGGTGATACACAAATAATGCAAATTGGAACTACTTCTATGCCGAAAACTCAAATCGTGGAGAATATTGAATTTGCCTGCAAGATTTTGGCCAAGAATTATCCTGGTGGATGGGCAAATATCAGAGCTTTAAGGATAAAAAGTCAGAAAAGTTTGGCAATTCCAATTTACATGACAATGAGTAAGTTGACTTATTTATATTAATTTTAATATTTTTAAAGGTTTAAAATGTTCACAAGACTTGTTTTTCATGATTATAATATTAAAAAAAAACTCCAATTGATCCTGATGAGTATCAATGATTCTAAAATTATGTATGAGAAAACTAAAATAGCGTTTGTCAATAATTCCGGGTAAAGTCAAGTAAAACTAATTATTGTTTTTGTTTGCAGAAAATAAAAACTTGGTTCAAGTACCTAATGTTCAACCAAAGAGACCAAAAGCTTATAAAACTTATGAAGGCGAACTTACGACTCTTCCTGGAAATGCTACTGTCAGTGTTACTCCTGATGGAACAGTCACTGTAACAAGAGGAATTAAGGAAAAGTCTGAAGATAACGTGACTTTACCCCCTGGTGTTGGAGTGAAACTAAGATCCGAAACGAAAACTGAAAGTGCTGAAGATGACAATAATAGTGAGGAAACTGATGAAGAAGAAGAGGATTAAATATACAAAAATTTTGTATATAAACCATTAACATTATTTTCTTTATTGATGTTTTAAAGGTAATTTTTTTTTAATTTTACCTTTAATGAAGTTGTAAATAAATATTTTTGTTATACAAAATTGACTTAAATCTATTTGCTTTTATTTAGCGTATGATCATCATCAAGAGGAAAACTTGATTGGTTTGAGTCTTTCAGTACAAAATCGTCTGGTCTTTTTTTGATATACTTTGATAATTATTCGATGGTGTTAAAGGCATCGCAGCTCCATTTGAACTTTGAGAATGAGCGACGTTAAGCGTAAGGTCGGTGACTACTTCAATTTCTTGAAAATTTTCTAATCTCTCAACATCTTTATCTCTTCTAATTTTTGTATTTGGAAGTTTTCTCAATTTCACTACCCTACTTTCATCAATGTTTAGTTCTTGGCAGCACACATCGAGTAAGGCTTGGAATGTTAAACACGTTTTCGGTAGATCAATTTCTATGAAATCTGCGTCTTGTATATTTGCAAGTCGCACTTTCAATACTAATTCTGAAATTGAACAATAGATTAAAGTCAAGACATTTTCTAAAGGTTCAACTTATTTATTCAAAATAAACCTAAATAAATAGGAAAAATATACATAGTAAAAAGTTACCAGTGGAATGATGAATATTTCCTTCTGAAGAATTTGCTTCTTTGGGAGAAGCACAACTTTTTGTGTAATCATCATTACTTTGCGTTCTCACAGTTGTGGAATTTGACATTTTTAAAAATTCTCCAGACAGAGCATAAGATAAAATTTGTAAAATATGCTGATTCGTACATACTGATTTGGGAGTCTCCCCAATTTCGGACGTTATATACGGATCTGCTCCGTTTTCCAAAAGTTTTACAATTACATCTTGTCGATTCATTTGACAGGCAAAGATCAATGCAGTTCTGAAAGTTAGAATGAAATTCTATAGTTATCAAAAAAACATTTTCTTATAATTAATAAAAACATACCGTCCATTTCTTGGATGACGAGAATTAACATCAACTCCAAGGTTTATAAGTTCCTCTACTCGTTTTAAATTTCCGAAAGAAGCAGCTACTCTAAGTTCATCTTCTAGTTTCTCCTTTTCATTCATTTTTAACCAACTAATTATCTACAATTACAGAAAACGAATTTATTCCAAAATAAATGACACATTATTTATTTTTTATTTATTTATAAAATGAAATGTTCCTTTAAATTAAAAATATTGATTTTGTCGAACTTTATTTATTATTCTTTTTTTAGAGATTAATTTTTCCGGGAATAAAAATGATTTCTCAAAAATGAAATAAGAATGCGAAAGTTTAAATTTAAAGTGAATTGTCAAGTTTTTTTGTCAAGTACTTACCTAAATTGCAACGTGCACTGAAGTAAATTGTTTCTTTTCCCATAATAAGTGGAAGAAGTCATTTAAATTCTAAACTATTTCTTGAGGCAATAAACAAGCAAAAAAGTAGTTCAAAAAGGAAACTTTTATTGACTTGGTTGTTGCAGATAAATAATGAAAACACATTGGACATAATAAATACAAGAAATATAAACTTACAGTTTAATTATCTGACAGACTAGGTTAGACTCTCATTATTCAACGCCATGCGCATGACCATTCACAAGTCACTGACCTTTTTGCTTCTGCTTTTTTCCATGTACTTAAAAGCGCTTAGTTTAAAAAACAATTATTATTAGAAAAGGCATTAAATAATCAAACTTTTCTACACACAGTGCATTTGTGTGTTTATGATATTTATAAACCATAAAATTATCAGTCACGTCATAAATTGTCACTTTTTTTTCTTTTCTCTATTTATATGTGAATTACTTTTTTAAATCTTTTTCTGAGAGAAATGGTGCAATGATGTAAATTGTAAATTCTAATTGTGATATTAGCTCTGAAATTGTTTAATAATATTTACTTAATATACTAATTGTTTGAAATTTATTGAAAATACGCTATAAAAGTAAAGCAGTATGTAAAAAAACCTTGTAATTTATTTCGCGTAAAAAATTAAAGATACAATAATATATACATAATAATACAATAAAAGAATTATCTACATAATTATACGTGAATATTAATAACAATCGTAACTTTTCACTTTTTTTGTCGATATTTCGTTGTCATTTTTCTTCTGTTACAATGTTGGCACAAAAAACCATTTTTTTTTCAACACAATGGATATTCTTAAGTAAAAAATTTCAACAGATTTTTAATAAACCGAATAGGAATCATCAGTAGAATCGGGACTATCAGAATTGCTTTCTGCAGCGTCAACGAAAGCTGTTGATAAATCACCGGATAATTTACTGACCGTTTGGCTGCTCACGTCGTACATGAAAATTTCCTTTTGTCCACTAAAGATGTCCTTTGGTCTAAAAATATCAAAGTTTTTGTTTTATTTCTATGAATTAAAGACAAAAATGTAAAACTATTTTTTAGAAATTTTTTTTGTCACTAAAGATGTTCTTTGGTCTAAAAGTAGTAAAGTTTTTAGAGACATTTTTAAATTTCTTTTTTCATGGAAAAGTAAAATCATTTTTAGAAATTTCTTCGCAATAATTCCATTATTTTCATAAATCATAAAATTCTTAAAAGATAAGATTCAATTATTTTAATTAATAATAACATTCTTTTTAGGAATTCAATTCTTTTTATGAATAATAATAAAACTCATCGCAGAATTTACATTATTTTTAATACAATTTTAATCAAATTCCTCGAAAAATGTAATTATTCTTAAAAAATTTCATTAAAATTCGTCAAAAGAATTCAATAAATTGCTTAAAAATTTGTTGATAAAATTGTTTACGAGAATTAAATAATTTCCAATATACATATTCAATTTGAATTATATTCCTGGAAAGAATTTAATTATTTTCATTTTCATAAATTACAAAATTCTTTGCAGGAATTTAATTATTTTCAATTCAATTTTATTATATAATTTCTAGAAAGAAATAATTTATTGAGTAATTTCTACTAATTTATTAGTAAAAAATTGCTTTTGAATTGGTTCGAAAAATTTTTTCTACTAAATTCGGTCATCCTCAATTATTATAAAACATTAAGAAATGGAGCAATCGATATTTTCATGTTTTATTACAATACTTTTATAAGTTCTTTAATTTCAGAAAGGTTTTAATTTGAATGGTTTGTAAAATTTTAATTTCTATAGAAAAATAATAATGATTAATAAAGAAGTTAAGTTATTGATGTTTTCGAATAATTTTACAATAATTAAAGAAATGCGAAGGAAAATTTTTTTTGAGTATCTATAATAATTTTTAGAGTGAATCAAAATATTTTTCAGTATCAGGGAAAAAGTCTAAATTTGGTCTGTGAATCAGAGAAAAAGAAAATTAATTTTTTGTGGTAACCCTGATAATTTCGAGTTGTTAAATTGAAAATGATTCCTAATTGATTAGAACTAAGATAAAAGGGATTCATCTCCAAAAAATGGGTTATTGTTGTTAATTTTCATTAATTTTGAACTGACAATAAAAAGGCTGGATTAACTTTCAATGCTAGAAAGTAAAACAATTATGACAAATCTAAAATTTGTTTGGAAAGGTCCAAAGATTTGGTGTAAGATGTTACTTACGTTGTGACAAGTAAAACAACCGATTGTCTTTGAGGTGGCGTTTTTTGTTCCTGTTCCAGCCACTTTTTGTAATTCTCCGAAGACGGTTTTTTGACCAGTTGTTTTAAGGATTCGCCAGCCAGGAATTTTATGGCCTGAACATCATTTATTTTCTTACTCTTCCTCAAGTTTGCATCATCGGAACCATCTTTGAAATTGTAATCGACCGGAGCTAATACAACGACGCTGGAGATTTTTTTCCCTTTCAATTCAGGAACATCTGGAATGGGGAATGACGCTCCGCTCACTTTCAGGGGTAAATAACGATTGTACTGGGGATCGTCCTTGGTTCCCACAATTACTGGATTCAAGTGAGTCGCATCTTCGCGAATATGTTGACCGGCAATTGTTTGACCTTGCGCCGTATTGGGATCGAAGCGAACTACTTTCATTTCCACGCCGCCTGGTTTTAAAGTAGCTTGCTCGATCTCGGTGGTTATCAATTTCGAAACTGGCTCTTCTACCGTTTTTGGTCGTTTGGCTATTGCGGGAATTGGTTCACTGGCCGAAGTTGCGGCCGCACCGCCTGCACTGTAGAAATTCTCGAGGGCTTCTGGAGGGAGGTTTTCGATGGGAATACCACCGATTTTGTCGTAGTCGAGGATTTGGATGTCGGCGTTGCCTAGAATGCCGGAACTGAGGAGTTGTTCGCGGATGTCGTCGGGTACTTCGTCGGGGAGATTTGCGATGTTTTCTTTGATTTTGGCCTCGTTCTTGGGGGAGACAGTGGTGGTGGTGGTGGTGGTGGTGGTGGTTGTCACTACCGGAGGCGTGAAATGTTGCGATTTTACGGAAGATTCCTCGGTCTGACTAGCGGGAGTTGCGTAGATTTTGTGATTCGAATTCACTTGGGAGTTTGGCCTTCCCCAGATGGATGGAGTGGAGGGAACACGCTTTTGGGTTTGTGTAGTTGGAACGTAATATTGTTGTTGAGATTTGTGTGACTGTGACTGTTGCTGTTGCTGAAAATTATTATTCTGCTGATTTCTTGAGTTTTCACTGTTTTGTTTTTGAGTTTGCGTGTCTTGATTTTGAACTAAGTGAGTTTGCCTGTCTTGATTTTGAACCAAATGAGATTGCCTGTCTTGACTTTGAACCAAATGAGTTGGCCTGTCTTGATTTTGAACCAAATGAGTCGGCCTGTCTTGATAGTCTTGTACTTGTGGATTTGGGGGGAAAGGACCGGGATGCAGGGGATTTTCTCTAATTGCGAAGTGTTGTTCGAGTTTGGGAACGGCTTTCAAAATTTCGCCTGAAGTTGTCTGCGACAACTGTACCTGTGGGTTTTGTTGAAATTGTTGACCTTGATTGTATTTGATTTGTTGTCGGTACTGATGATGCTCCTGCAATAATTTTTGATCTTGTTCCTGTTTCCTTCTTTGCTGGTCCTGCAGACGTTGGTGTTCCAAAAACTTTTGCTGTTCTTGATGCCGTTGCTGCTCTAGTATTCTTTGCTGGTCCACAAGTCGCTGCTGTTCGGCTAGTCGTTGCTGTTCGCGTTGTTTCAACAATTCTTGATGTCTTCGTTGTTCGTAATACTTTTGCTTCTGTTCCTCTTGCTGTTTATAATTCTGTTGGTGCTCCGGATTAAAGTTGTGATTCAAACTTTGCGGTTGCTGATGATTTTGGTGAGACGGCGATACACCCGAAAATGAAGATTGAGGATTGATTCGGTGGGGAATTGCGGCATTGAATGGCAGCTTTTGTTGAAAATCGGGCAAACCTTGGATATTTATCGGCAATCTTTGAGGTCGTTGTGAGTTTCGATTTTGTAAAGGAGCTTGAAATTGTTGAGGGGCAAAATTTTGTGCGAGTTGTTGACTCGATAGTTGAGCATTCGTTGACAGTTGTTGGTTCGGACCTAAATGTTGATTTTGTTGATGTTGCAGGAGTTGTTGCGGTGGGATTGAATTGACGATCCTCTGTTGGGGAAAAGCTGGTTGAACTCGATGAGGAACGGGCTGTAGAGGTTGATATGGTCCGTGAGATTTCTTCGAAGATCCTGGTGGTGGAAGAGGATTGGGTGGAACTTGATGAGCAGGATCCTGATCACTTCGTTTGTGGTGATTATTCGGTGGCACCTGATCAGTTCCGAAAGTGACTCGCAATCCGCTGCTACCAGGAGCGTGATATGACTCACTGTCCGGTCGGATGATTGCCCTCAAAGTTGTTGAAGGTTGTTCCGGAGGTGATGGCGTTGCCGTATGCACTTGAATCTCTTGATGAGGATCTTGGATCTTCTCGTGCTCTTCCACTGGGGTCAGAGCTGGAATCGGTGCGTCGTAAACTACTTGAGATTTACCGTCACTGTGGTTCTTCTTTTTCTCGTACTTGACGTAAAAAACTTGAATTGGCTCCTTCGTGGGTCGTGGAGCAGGTGGTTGGGGAGGAGGAACTGGCGTTGGTAAGGTTTCATTGGACTCTTTAATGATGATTTCGATAATTGGTTCAGGTTCGGAGGGGTAATAGCTCTGTGGAAGATTGTCGTAGAAGTCTTCGTCACTTTTGGCAATCGCTAGAGAATTGTAGAGAGGATCCCTTTGGGAGTACTGGACAATTGGTTCCATTTGCACGGCATAGGGTGGTGGGCGAGCTCCTCTTCTGGAATGGAATGACACTTGCTGCCTCTTGTCCCGATTCTTTGTCTCGTCCTTTGCTTCTGTAAGCAGGAGGACTGAAGCGACGACCACTAGTATCGTCTGAAACGTCTGAAACGTCTGAAATCAAGAGAGAAAGTAAGTTATTGTCAGAATTCTGACAATTCTATAGGGTTGAATTTCATGTATTCAGTTCATTCAGTTCATTAGATCGCTAACCGAGTGACCCTCTTTCAATGAGGAGAGAGAATTTCCTTAAATGAAATTTATTGGTATTCCCAACAGCACTGAACGAACAGTTAACCAGTTCCTAATATAAATGATTCAGATTCGCATTCATCCGATGTGCCAGATATGGCTAAGCAAGTTGTTATTGGTTTTACAGATTCACAAATTGTTGAGAATAATATTCTTAGCGAGTCAGAGTGCTTTCTTCGCATAATTTACGAGCAAGAAAGAAGAGAAAATTTTATCTTAAAAATTAACGCCCGAGCGCTTCGCACCTAAGTTTATTGCTCTTTTGTATCGTACACGATCTTCATGAACCCATCGTTATTCAGTTATAAACAAATGTTATAGTTGTTCAAATATAATTGCGGTTTTACTTTGTAACGTAAAACCATAGACGCGGAAGTTTGGGAAAGTGAAGTAAAAATAGTTTTAAAAAGACAAAAAACGAAATGAGTTATATATAGGTACATATAGTGTAGAAAGTGGTTTGGACCGTTTGGACCGACAATAACTGGAGAGATGATAAAAAAAAAAAAAAAAAAAATGATAAAAAATAATAGTATGCGAATGATAATTAAAGACATGACAAGATAATTTGAGCAGAAAATGAAAATTACCAGTTTGAGGAAGCGCATGATGATAAGAATTCCTTTGCTTTCAGGACACACTTCACTGACTCCGCGTGTTCACCCCGCAGTTTGCTATTTTGCCCGAAGATACATTATAGGAAGAGTCGGCGTGTAGACAATATTAACTGGAACTTCACATAGGAACTAAATAAGAAGACTTTGGGACTTGGACTTGGTTTCTCCCTTCCAAGTGCCACCACCTCTTGGAAAAGAAGCTCCTCTCTAATGTCTGCGAGATGATGGAGGGGCACCTTTCTCTGCTTTAATACACATACCAAACCAATGCATTGGTCTCCACATAACACGAGTATAATGTGACTTGAAAAATTAAGCGTGCGAAGACACCAGGAAGGTGAGCGGACGACGACTTTCTTTAATCGTCTCGAACTCTTCTTTACTTCTTTTAGCCTGGCATTTTCATTTTTCAGCGACCTCCACGGGCCAATGAAATTGAAATCATTCCTTCCGGTTCTTTCTAAACTGTAATTACCGTTTTGTCTGTTAGCTTACTACCAAAAAATGTTGCAATAGAGAAATGCATATTAAAAACGTTCAAAACTAATCTTCCTTTTCATTCTTTTAACGAGTGTTGATTAATTAAAAGTCATTTCAAAAGATTTCACTCCTAATTTTCAAAAATAACTTGAATATTAAATATTTAAATACAAGTTTTCAATATTATTTTCAATACAGAAAGTATTTTCGTATTTAATTTTAATACTTATAAAAACTTATATAAATTTTAAATTAAATGCAAACTTAAAAATGATCTCTTTTCATTTGTCGAGAAAACGACAACTTTTTTTTTACACAAGAAAAACTAAATTTTCTGCAATTTCTAATGCAATCTATTACAGGAATTTATATTTCTATTCTTGAAGATATTTTATATTTTTACGACAATTATGAAGAAAATAGCAGTTGTAATTATTATAATATATGATAATTCTCTTATAAAAGCATATTTTCTGGTGTGCCATAATTCTTTGCAGAATTTACCGTAAAATTTTCTCCCTTTCTCCTTTTATGACTTATTTTAACGTTTATGCGTGAAATTTTTATCCCAACGAAAAATTAAAGTCTATTTCTTGATGACATTACGAGTTGACAAAAAAAAAATAGTTTCGTTGAAAATTCCAACACACATAGTGTGTGGTTATATTTTTTCAGGAAATTACAGTAATTTGAATTTTGCATTTGAATGATCCCAATAATAAGAAATTATTTCTTTAGGTGTTATGGTTGTACTAAGTAGCTCATCAATAATTATATATGTATAGGCACGTAATACCGTATATTCACCTAAATTCTGGTGCGTGACCAGTTTCCTTTATAAAGAGTGAAATTAAGTTGGTTCTTTATTTTTTTGCGTTAAAATTAACCGGAAATGTCGGATAGAATAAATAAATTCTAAAAATTATATAAAAGATTGGAAATGAATTACTTTAATAATTTTTCGAAAGAAGAATCTCTTTTTTAATTTTTTGCAAAGACATTAAAAATATGATTTTTAATCTTTTTAATTATTAATTTTGTGTAGATAATTTTAAAAATGTTTTCTGTTCACACAGGATTTGGGACATTATGAATTCACTGTAAGGAATTTAATTGGAAAGTAATGGAATTCGGTCGCTCTGAGATAAACGCCTCAATATTCATTAAGTTCCTGCTGTCTCGATGACTGTAGGCAGTGTATAGGCAGAAGATCTGGCGATGGGCATTTGGCGAACGTCCAGTTGAAGATTCAAGTCTTGCGTCCTACTTGAAGAACTTTCACTTATGTTCTGGCGTAAGAGGTCCAAAGAGAGACCCAGGTTCAGATTTTATAAAATTTGAATTCTCGCAAATAACTCTCGTGGACTTGAATTAACTTACTTGACACGTATTATCTGATAAGTGAGCATAATTTTTTGCATTTATTTTTTAGAATTTACCCGTTGAAAATAACCGCAGCAAGTATAAAAAATTTACAAGTACAAAATAAGGATGTTGCATTGAGAAACTGAATGCCAAACGAGCAAGAACTACATTATGCATTTTTTCTAGAATATGAGCTACTTTTACAGAGTGAAAAAACTGACTACAATTTCCATTCCAAATTAGAATTGCTTCATTTGACCATAAACCGAGTTTACGATGACCTAAAGTATTTTACTTGTACTTTTAATATACGTATATATTATGAATTAATTTTCTGTTTATCGAAGCGAAAAGAATTTTCAAGCTTTTTTCGAGAAGCTTTTTTTCTACAGAATGTGAAACTTTCACTTTTTAATTTTCAATTCTAATTTGTGAATAGTAAATTATAAATAGATTTTTAATTGTAAATATAGTAAACTTGTCAATTGTAATAATTAACATCAGGATCAGTTTCTCAAACTTGTGTACATCATACGAAATTGTCGTTTCAGAAAAAATCCGAGTTATTTAGAAATTTTGCATGTCCCAAGCCCAACGAAAGGGAAAAAATTCTCACCGAGTTGCGAATTAAACGAATTCCCTTGAGATGCGTATAATTGGAGCAGGCGATAACTTTGTTGGAATTACATGCGATGTTAGATGTAAAAAAAAAAATACTATAAAAGTGCATCAATATAGTGAAGATTGCATTATATCTGAATAGCCTGATTCTCATGAAAGTCCAAAGCGTAACAGCAGATGCTCCGATACCAAAGATTGACGATACTCTTTCCATGAGGTGTAAATGTGTGTGGTTCGTTAAACCTGTGAGCTAACGTAACTGTTCTGTTGAAGAGTGAAAGTGCTGTGTAAAGTGGAACGTAGAATTGAACTAACTATTTTTATTAATAACAACTGAATCTGCAGAATCGTTTATTTACCGTAAATACATTTTTGCAATGTGTCTATTGCAAAAGGTGCAATTACAGCTTGTAATATAAACCTGCACCAATTAATTTTAAACTAAAGCAATTTTTTTTTTTTTTTTTTTTTTTGCAAAACTTTAAAATATTTTCACCATGTGTATATATGCACATTGTGAAAATAATTTAAAGATTTGCAAAAAAAATTCAATTTTTCGTTTTTTTTAACTAAATTTAAATTCATTTATTTAAAATACTGAAAGGAATTTAGAGTAAACTTGAAAATTGAAAGTATTTCCTTCTTTTTAAATTTAAAGCTCAAAACTTACTCTTCCCTACTAAAATTTCAATTGAAGCGAATTGTAAGGCTTTTTCTACAATATTCAAATTTTTTAAATAAAAAACTTTTCTGCGACATAAAGTAATAATTATTAGTTAAATAATCTTTAACGTCCGAGATATATATTTTATAAAATAAGTCAAATATAACGAAAAAAAATCGGACAATGAATATAAATATTTATTTACTCCAACGTTTCGAAATCTAAATGATTTCCTTTTCAGAAATTATTAACTACATAATTACTGTAAATTATTATAGTTATTAACTAATTAACTATAAAATTAATAATTATTAAATATAATGAATTTTTTTAAATTTACTATTATTTAATTTATTATATTAATATTTTCTTCAAGAAAAGAGGTTTTTTTGGAGAAATTTTATTCTATTATGTAATTGTTAAATGAAGTACATACATATATGTATACTGATAATAAGTGTACATGTACATATACACATACAAACATGTCTCTTGAGAGTGAAACGATCGTTGAGTGCAAATGTGATTCTTGCATTAAAGTCCGATATAATATTAAACAAATATTTCTTGTACTTGATGTTTATGGCTGGTTATTGGATTCCTATATCGTGGTTTGTTTAAATTTATTATAAAGAAGTAATAAAACCGACATTTTTTTCAATCTTACTTTCTGTATTTACTTTATATAAGATAGGTTATGTTTATTTGTATTGAAGATTGAAACTAAAATATGTTTTGAAATTTATTAAACTGGAATTTTAAAGAATTTAAAATAATTTACGAGAATAAATTGTTTTGAAGGTTTTTTTAAAATTGCAATATATTTAATTAATTTATTTAATTTATATTATTTATATTTATTTCATTTATTTTCAAGGACTTTTTCCTGGAGGATTTATGGAGCAAATTGCCAGGAGAATGGCAAAGGACTTTGGATTCTGTGACTCCGTGCGAATTAGGAAAATGGATTTTAGGCGAATCGGGGTAATGTTAAAATATATAGTTATAAAAAAGATAAAATTGTGATATTTAGTAATATTTATTTGCCTTATTTTAATATTATTTTTATTTTTTATTTTATTTTTTAGTACACGAGTTTGGCCTTTATCGTTAATAGCTTTGAGACAAGTTATTCGGAAGTTGGAAATTAATAGGAATCATAATGAAAGGGAAGCTATTAAATGCCGTGGAAGAGAAAACGGAGGAGTGAGCGATGTTAATTACTTTTCAACGGGAAAGATAAATTCTGTAAATTCAAGTTCAAATTTAAACCAAAATTTGAAACCTAAATTTGATAAACTTTTTATAAAGCATGTGAAAACGAAAAAACGATACGAAATTGAAAAAATAGCAAAGGTAATATTTTAAAAATAATATTCAATTCTTTCAACTTTTATGTACTTATATTCTGTTTGTTATTCCTTAGATTTTAAATGACTGCACATCGAAAACGAATTGTACCTGTGTTGTCGACATTGGTGCCGGAGTGGGACATCTGTCTCGCGTTCTTGCCTTCAAATATGGATTAAATGTTATTTGCATAGAGCAGGATTCAACTTTGACGAATCAAGCAAAGTAATTGAAATTAATTACATTTTCGAATAATTCAATTTTTTGTTCAATTTGAATGTTGAAATTTTTTATTCTTTACAGAAAGTATGATAATGAGCTGTCAGCTTCCATGGAAAAATACAAGTTTGCTTCCAGTGGAAAAATTGACCATGTTTCAATGACTGTCACTGCGAATAATTCCGGAGAACATGTGATCAATGATTTAGTCACAAATTTTGCCAACGGATCGATTAAAAAATTAAAAACAGAAGAATTTGGCATAATCGGATTACATCCTTGCGGAGATTTGGCTACTACACTTTTAAGATTGTACTCGTCCTGTGAAAAAGCAAAATTCATCTGTATTGTCGGATGTTGTTATATGAAACTTACTCTCAGGTTTGTACATTGTACTTAATAAATAAATATTTGTTTAAAACTTAATTTTAAATTATTATCATATCTTTTTGTATATTTTTCGTATTAGGAATGATGAAAATAATTTGAAAGGATACCCGATGAGTAAACATGTTTCATTGATGTGTAATAATAAATTATCTTTCAATGCTCTTGAAGTGGCTTGTCATGCTGTTGAAAAACATTGTGAAAAGCTGAAGAGTGACAATTATACCGATTTAGTTGTAAGTTGAAAAAGAGAAATAATATTACGTCATGTAAATATTTAGTAAAATTAAAATTTTATTCAGTTAAATTATCATAAAATTTACATGCAATTTTTCACAGGTACATACATACAGAGCAGTCTTGGAATATATTTTGGTTGCAAAAAGTCCTAAACTTCGTCGTATTCAAGTGAAAAGTGTAAAAGTAAAGGAAGGCATGTCGTTTGAACAGTTGCGTAACAAATAATAATTTATTTTATTTAGTATTATGAAAAGTATAAATTTGTATAAAATTACAACTCTATTTAACATCTGGAATATTTGACGACATTGACATTCTTTCAGATACTGCAAAAGTGCGATAGAAAATTTCGAGTTCGAGAATCAACCAGAATTGTCTAGTTTTACACAATCGAATATTTGTGAATTTTTGAAAAAGTCTAAAAGAGTATTAATCTTTAACTCACTTCGACTGATGCTGGCACCATTAGTTGAAACTTGCATTTTGTTAGATAGATTTCTGTTCCTCTCCGAAAAAGGATTGATTCCTTCATTAAAGGCTGAATTTGATTGTAAGCTATCGCCGAGAAATTTTGTACTTACATCGACAAAGTAATTAGGTATCAAATCTTTTATACAATATATTTTTATAGAATATTTAACATATGTTGACTAGAAATTCAACATAACTCTCGTTATATTTTTATGTACCTAATATATTAATATTAGTTTTCATGAAATATTTTTTTAATTTATTAGTTTTTATTTTTAAATCCACAGTGATTTGAAACGAGACCACAGGCTTGGTTTTGGTGAATTTTCTCCTTCATCACCATCAGGATCTATATTTTCAGGATTCTCTCCAGCGGTGTTTGCGGTTGACTTTGAGGAAACAGAAGACGCTGAATCGTCTTCTTCACTATGTTCATGTTCCGCTAGTTCTGAAGTTGGATCAGAATTTCCCAAACATGTTCTGAGTAGTTCCTTTCCTTCTTCACTCGATATAACCGGGCGAAGCTTTTTCGTTGTGTACGTGTAAACATCTCCAGTTTCACTTTGAATCACTACAAGTACTTGTGTTCCTGTCATTTTAGACAGTTTATAAGCTCTACTTAATAATCTCGACTTTTTTGTGGAAAACGTTAAGCGTCTCTTCTCTTTGTCTCGGATAAATTTTGTCATTTTCAATTTTGTTTTCAAGCTTCTTTGTTCTAAATTGTAAAATGTTTTCAATTCAATTTTTTCACTTTTATTTCTCTTATATTAAAGTAAAAGTTTAATAGGTAATAATTTTAAAATATCACTTTATTCAAATTGTTTTTAAATTTTATATGTGAAAAAAAAAGTTAAAAAAGCTTTCAACTGTGTATGATTGTGTAGCTAAACGAAACAGTGAATGATAAATTTAATTTGTGTTTATTTTTGGATGGTTCTTTTTTAACAATAGGTCATTAAGTACCGTGTGTTTACTGCTAGAGGCGCAGCACTTTCTTGGAAGTATGAAAAGAAAATTTCAAGAAAAATTTAAACTCTTTTACTCAATTTTAAAGATTTTATTTTTAAAGTCAATTTTTAACCTTATTTTTAACTTTAGAACAAAATTAAGTTTTTCCATTAAAAAATACGTTGATAATAAAAAATTAGAGTATTATATGTATGTATATTGTTTTAAACCGATTATAATAATAATCATAATAATACCCACTTGTCAAATAATCATTGTAATTGAAGATAAGAGACATTTTTCTAAATTTTAAATTAACAGGCCTAAAAAATATAAAATTAATTTTACTTTTATGTTTATAAATTTTATAATATATTGTTTTTAAGTTTTTCGTTAATATTTAGTAAAATAAAAACCATCAGCAACTTGAATAGGTACAATAGAATAATGAAGAATATTTACGAAATGTTAAAATTAAAAATTGTTTTATTTTTTTCTCTATTTTCATAGAAAAAAGGAAAAAAGACTATCGCGAATTCGCGAAACAAAATTACAGAATTTAAAAGACGCAGCGCTCTCTGGTTGCTAATATTTGTATTATAAGTATAAAGATGAGTAGAAGAAGTAAAACACTCACATGTGTTTTTGCCGGTTTTTAACAATAATAACTAATTTTTTAAATAAAAACTTACAACAGTGGTTAGTTTAATATAATTGTTGGAATATTTCCATTTCTTACATTCTTACCATTCTTACTGAAAGTGAACTTCATTTTACAATAAAATAATAATATAGACAACTAAAGGAGATTATTTTTCTGCTCCAAATTATTAAAATTGCAATTTAGAACGCATTTCATCTTATATTTAGCATTTCATATATAGTAATTTTTTTAATTAGTAAATTTCATAATTTATACTTACAATATGACTGTATTTTTTGTACTTTTTTGTAGATCATGTTGCCGTTCGTAATAGGTGTTATGAAACGATATGCACCAATAATTACTCTTCCTTTTGCTGCACTTATTGGATTTATTGGTTATAATTTAGAGGAAAGATTTTCCAGTAAATACACGCCTTCCACACCATCAATAAATCAACAACGTTTAGAAAGAAGTTTAGAAACAATCGTTTCGGATATTGAAGATGAAAAAGAAAAATCAAAAAAACATAGTCCACTAGAAGTAAATTTGTCACCTTCTCTGCAGAGGCAGATGTTTATTAACAAGAATTAAGTCAGATATCATCCTATTGATAAATCTTGTAAATTTACAATTTACCCAATTTACTTATATTGCAATATGTAAGAATTTTTTTCTATAAGGATATAGATATAGATTCAATGATATGATTGCTGAAATCGCTGAAATTAATGACAAACTCATGTAATATAATAAAATTTGACAATATTTTATTTTAAAATATATAGATGTGTTCATTATTATGTTAGATTGTAGGTTATGCGGTATATGTATATATATATATATATAATTTAAGCGTCAGCACCACGTCACCGATCAGCTGTTTATGCTTTTGGGTCTAGCAATAATAAAGAAGTGCATAAAAGCTGAACTCCTGTGAAATGAAAGATCTTTGATTTTTTAAAAATTAGTTATTTCCGAAAAATTATTAAATATGAGTACTCACGAGGAGGATGAAATTGAAGACTTACGATCGACGGTTTACACTTTTCCCAGTAGTGTACAGTCAGTTATAGAACAGGTTAGAATTTATTGAGCTTATATGTCAATTTGACGTTTTACTGATTTTATCTCAAATTTGACATTATGGTCTCATTAAAAATTATTATTATTATTTAATACTCTTGTTTAAGGTTGCCAAAAATTTAATTGAGGAAACCAGCGATTTAAATTCAATTTTAGTTCCTTTAATATTGAGAACGTTTTGTGCGTTTTGTGTCAATTTATATGTAATAACTTTAAATATATTATTCCTGAAGGTAAAAAAGCCAAAAATCTTTAATCGGCTGAACAATGTTTACTCTCATTTTATAGAAATTATCTGTGTAAAATCAAATTGACACAAATTAATTATATTCCTAAAAAGTTCTTTTGTTTTGCAACAAGTTACTCTCCTAATGCACTATAATTATTATAATAATAATTATTTATATTAAATATTGCAGGTTTTGCCCAGTAATGATCCACTGGATCAACCGAATTTCAATACGGTGGATTATATAAATTCTTTATTTCCAACTGAACAGTCCCTCTCGAATATAGACGATGTTGTCAGTAAAATGGAGTATAAAATTTGCAATATAGATAAAGAAATTCGCACTGTTGTTCGAGGACAAATAAATGTTGGTCAAGATGGAAGAGCAGCTTTGGAAGATGCACAGAAAGTTATAAAACAACTCTTTATTCACATCAAGGATATTAAAGACAAAGCAGAACAGTCGGAAGAGACTGTAAAGGAAATAACTAGAGACATTAAGCAACTTGATTTCGCAAAAAGGAATCTGACTGCTTCAATTACGGCCTTAAACCATTTGCACATACTCGTCGGTGGAGTTGATAATTTAAAGTACTATTCAGAATTAAAGTAAATTTATTCACTAATTTCTAATTTCTTTTATAATCCAAAAAAAAACATCTTTTTACATTTAGAGTCCTCACGCAAAACAAGCAATATGGTGATATTGTCTTACCACTTGAAGCAATTATGGAAGTAATAAAACATTTCAATAATTACATGGACATTCCACAAATAAAACAGTTGGCAGATGAAGTGAGTGAGGAAATTACTTAAAATACTTTTTATTTTTAAAATTCTATACAATTATTATTTTAATATGAAAACAATCAAATTTTAGGTTCAACAAATTCATGTTGAATTAGCTCAGCAAATAACTTCTGATTTTAAAGAAGCATTTTCCGGACAGAATCCAAAACACTTTTCACAATTGACGGACGGTTGTCTAGTTTTATCTGTTCTGGAACCAAAAGTAAAGTAAGTTTTCAAATTTTAATTTCCCATTTTCATTGAAATTGATAAAATGAATTTTAGAAAGGAGTTGCTTACTTGGTTTGTGGGAGTTCAACTTGAAGAGTACGCACATCTATTCGATGAAAATCAAGACTTTGCTTGGCTCGACAAAATAGATAGACGTTACGCTTGGATAAAAAAGCATCTTTTAGATTTTGAATCAAAATTTGGAACCATATTTCCCCTTGACTGGGAAATATCTGAACGCATTGCTGTTCAATTTTGCAATGTAACTCGTCAAGATCTAACGAAATTAATGCACAAAAGACGTCCAGAAATGGATGTTAAATTATTACTTTACGCCATTCAAAGGACGACAAATTTCGAAAATTTATTGGCCAAACGTTTTTCTGGTATCACTTTGGAAAGTCCGGAGACGAATATTAAAAGTATCGCAATTACACCTGCAGTCGATGAAAATGCAATACCCGGGAATCCATTCGAAGAAAATGAGAAAGTAATGATATTTTCAATTGCTTTCAAACATATTTTTTTGTAATAATAATAATAATAATAATAATAATAATAATAATATTCTTTTTCACTTTTTTTTTTTTAACAGATTGAAAATGAAAAACCACCAATTTCGCCTTTTGCAAACTTAATTGGAAGATGTTTCGAGCCTTACTTAAATATTTACATAGAGAGTTTAGATAGAAATCTTTCCGATTTAATGGAAAAATTTGTTATGGACTGTAAAACTCAACCACCAGGTGCAAAAGATTCAGATGGTGTTGAAGGACCCAGTACCGTTCTTTCGTCTTGTGCGGACTTATTTATTTTCTACAAAAAATGCATGCTGCAGTGTACTCAACTCAGTACCGGATCGATTATGTTGAATCTTGCAGAAACTTTCCAGAAATACCTACGAGAATATGCTTTGAAAGTCCTTCAGAACAATTTACCCAAGTAAGTGAAATCTCAAGTTTGAAAATTTGAAAGTTTAAATTTCAAGAAAAAGGGGAAAATGTAATTCATATATGTGGACGTCCGCATGAAAAGGGACCACTTTGGCACTATTGGACTTATCTATATGGGCGAATTCCTGACAAAATTTGGAAAATTTTGAGTGGTCTTACAACCTTTTTGGTGGAAAATTCGATGAGTTACAGAATTTTAAAGTTTGGAGTATCAAATACGTCATTTCGAGAAAAACGAAATCAAAGATTGTAATATGAATATCTTTAGTTCTTCTGGGAAGTTATTCAGATAAGAGTTGATTTAAGTCTAGTACACCCTTAAGATTGAAAATCAATAGGTTTCGAATTCCCCCCCCCCTCATTTTTTAACAATGACAAAATAATGGATCTCCGACAAAGTGGTCCCTTTTCTAAAAATACGGTTATTAATTAATAAATTGGAATATTTAACGAATTTAAAGGTTCGGTGTTATTTTTTAAAGTTATTTCAAGCAAAGAAAAGAAAAGTAGCCTAAAAAAATTTTTTAAGCGACTTTATTATAAAAAATCTTAGAAAAAATTAAAAATTCCTTTTCCAAAAACACGAAATTAAAAATTGTAACGCGAATTTCTCCGGCTCTTCTGGGAAGTTATTCAGATAAGAGTTGTTTTAAGTCTAGTGCACTCTTAAGATTGAAAATCAATAGGTTTCGAATTCCCCCCCCCCCCCTCATTTTTTAACAATGACAAAATAATGGATCTCCGACAAAGTGGTCCCGTCCCTTTTCTAAAAATACGGTTATTAATTAATAAAGTGGAATATTTAACGAATTTAAAGGTTCGGTGTTATTTTTTAGAGTTATTTCAAGCAAAGAAAAGAAAAGTAACCTAAAAAAAATTTTTTAAGCGACTTTATTATAAAAAATCTTAGAAAAAATTAAAAATTTCACTTCTAAAAACACGAAATTAAAAATTGTAATGCGAATTTCTCCGGCTCTTCTGGGAAGTTATTCAGATAAGAGTTGTTTTAAGTCTAGTACACCCTTAAGATTGAAAATCAATAGGTTTCGAATTTTTCCCTCCCTTCGTTTTGAAACAATGAAAAAATAACAGATTTCCGACAAAGTGGTCCCTTTTCATTTTTTTTTCTAACAACGAAATAAAATACTTAGAGTGTCAATAAATTAATAAAAACTGCATGAATCGACGTGGTAGACCCTGTAGATTAAGAAAAAAAGATAAAAAAAATTTCGATATTTTTCTTCAAAATTAGTAAATTGCGAATATCTCGGAATCTAGAACCGACAAAGTGGTCCCTTTTCATGCGGACGTCCACATATAATGTACTAGCTGTCGTACCCGTCTTCGACGGGTTGTAGTTTCTGATAATGCACTTAACAGTGTATCTACCAACCTAGAAAACCGGAAAATAGCCGGGAATTTGATTTGACAGGGAAAAAATAATAATTAGTTACTATTGTCTATTTCATTAGGAAAATAATACCATTTGAAACAGTGACCGACTTTTTATTATCAAATTAGTTATTTTTAACTAATTCAAATGCAGAAAACAATATTTCTCAATTTGTAGTACTTCAATCAATATAATGTATTAAAATAAATCTAAAATTTCTTCCAGTTTTTTGAGTTATAGTACAGTCTAATTCGAACTAATTGTATAGCAAGTAGATCCAGTTTTTCTCGGTTACATTAAATTCCCTGATATTTTACGTCTTTTCTGGTTGGTAAACACCCTTTTAAATGTATTATTAAAAAAAACCCGTCCAGTAAACCAGGAAAAATTTGGACAAAGCCGGAAATTGTTTTAAACCAAAATAAACACCGTGTTTAACTTTTGTCTTTACATTGATCAAGATATCTCTAAAAGTTAAATCAGAGAGCCCACAAATACTACTGAATTAAGCTTCATAGCAATTGGTATCAATTATAATTTTTTCAATTTTTTGATATTCAAAACATTTTTATACTTACATCTTCGTTATAAGAAAGTATTTTTGAAAAATTATGCTAAAATGTGACTAAATAACATGTAATACTCAACTATAGAAAGTTTAGAAGCAATCCATGAAAAAATATAAAATTTAGAAATGATTTGTGTTAAATAAATTTATTTATTAGAGTCAAGTATTTATTTAATTAATCCAATTAAGATTTATTTGATTCAACTAAATAAAATTATTTAAATGAAATAAATTCTTATTAGATCGAAATAAAAACTTTTTAAATAAGATATTATTTTTCAAATAATTATAATTACTTGAATCATATAACTTTTTTTAGTGTAGCTATAGTAAACTAAAAGTTATTAATGTGAACGAACATTATCTATATTAATAAAATCAGATTACTATCTGTACATTGCTCCAAACTTGAAAATTTTTATATATTTTTTCGTTTTGAGACATTAGAATTCTAAAAATGTAAAAAAAATTTCTGTCTGTCTGTCTCTGTCTGTATGCAAAACTTTGTTCGCGCATCAATTGAAAACGGTTCAACCAATTAAAGTGAAATTTGGCAGTCTATTAGGTATTAAAGTAACTTACAATCATAGCCTTATCCGATTAAAAAATATTAACTTGAACAAAAGTTATGACATTTTTTCAAAAAATTCAAAAAAACAAAAAATGCAAATTTTTTATCTTTTGTAAAATGAATGAAAAAACTATCCTTAGCTAACTTTTTCAGATAAATACAACCCATTTCTACGATAAAATTTTTAAAAAAGATGTATTTTGAAATTTTTTTTCGTTTTTTTAGATCAACTTTTTTCTAAGAAAATAGTGATTTTTAATCTTTAAGCAAGCTTTTCAGGAAAAGTTATTAAAGTTTTTTATTTAAAGATCAGTATGTAAAGTAAAAAATTTGCTACATTAAACAAAAATAATTAGCTAAATGCCATAAAAAAGAAGGAAAAATGTTGAATTTTAAGAAATTCGGTTTTTTGAATTTTTGCTAATTTTCCATAATTTTAGATTTTTTACCGAAGGGTGGAGATAACAAATTAGGTAAAGTATTTTTTAAGAGCACAAAAATAATAAAGCTAAATGCTATAAAAAAGAAGGAAAAATGTTGAATTTTAAGAAATTCGGTTTTTTGAATTTTTGATAATTTTCCATAATTTTAGATTTTTTACCGAAGGGTGGAGACTATTAAATAAGTAAAGTATTTTTTAAGAGCACAAAAATAATAAAGCTAAATGCCATAAAAAGAAGGAAAAATGTTTAATTTTAAGAAATTCATTTTTTTGCATTTTTGCTATTTTTCCATAATTTTAGATTTTTTACCAAAGGGTGGAGATAACAAATTAGGTAAAGTATTTTTGAAGAGCCCAAAAATAATGAAGCCAAAAGCCATAAAAGAGAAGAAAAAATGTTGAATTTTAATAAATTCGGTTTTATGAATTTTTGCTAATTTTCCATAATTTTAGATTTTTTACCAAAGGGTGGAGACTATTAAATATAAGTAAAGTATTTTTGAAGAGTACAAAAATAATGAAGCTTAATGATATAAAAGAGAAGAAAAAAATGTTAAATTTTAAGAAATTCGGTTTCTCGAATTTTTGATAATTTTTGATTTTTTGCTAAAGGGTGGAGACTATTCAAATAGTATAATTATACTACCGAAATAGCTAATTGTAACTAATTATTAATTAATTAATTATTAACTAATTATTAATTATTATTAATTAACTAATTATTATTAATTAACTAATTATTAATTATTAATTATTAATTAATTTATCCCGGGTATTTTTGATTTTCCGCAGATTGGTAGAAACATTGTTAAATGTATTGGTAGAAACTAAAACCCGTCGAAGACGGGTACGACATGACAGCTAGTGCTATATATTTTCAAAATTTTTAAAATTCAAAATTTATCTTTTGAAATAATTATTGTCATTAATTTTACTTAAATTTTATACAGGGTTAATTTTAGTATTTTTTATTACAATTTAGTCATCAGAATGAAATTTGAGTTTTTCATTTTTTGATCATTAATTAATAAAATATAATAGCAATTTTGAATTCTGTGCAACATACTGACAAAAGTCTCATATTAATTATATGGATATTGTTAATATTCTGACCTAATAGAATTCTTTTAAGAAAGTAAACTTATGATTTCAACAACAAATTTTTATTGTTGACCTAAGAAATACAACCGTATAAAAATTAATTACAAAAAAATTTCAATTTTTAAACTTTTTAATTTTTCAATATTTAAATCTAACACTTTTTATTTGTTATTCAAAATTTTATTATTCTGACGATTAAATCTTCATAAAAAACACTAAAATTAACCCTGTACCAAGTTTAAGTACAATTCACTAAAGTATATGAAAAAACTAAAAATTTCGAATTTTCGAATTTTTGAAAAAATGGCATAACTTTCGTCCATATTAATATTTTTTAATCTACTATCGCTAGGATTTTAAGTTAGGCTAATGCCTAAAAGACTGCCAAGTTTCACTTCAAACGATCGAACCGTTTTTCCGTGATACGCGGTCGAAAATTTGCGGACATACATACACACATACACACATACACACATACACACATATACACATACACACATAATTTTCTTAATAGTATTTTCGCATTCCTTAGAGTGTAAAAAGAAGGAATATAATAGAAATTTTGAATTCTATGCAATGTACAGACAAAAGTCTGATTTTATTAATAAGGATTGTTAATCTAGAATTGGAGGAAGCGCTGGAATTGGCACAAGTATGAGTAACATTACGAGAGATTTCCGTGATTTATCCACGGCTGGACTTATTCAAAACTTTCAGAGTTTCTTAAAAGAAGGGGAAAACACAAGATTCAGTAAAGAAGAACAATCGCGAATTTGTTGGTGAGTATAGATTTTAAATCTACAATAATCCTACAATAATCCTACAATAATTAAAGTTAATTTAATTCATTTGTTTTTTAGTATTTTGACAACTGCTGAATATTGTTTAGAAACCACCCAACAATTGGAAGAGAAACTGAGAGAAAAAACGGATAAAAATTATGCTGAAAAAATTAACTTATCACAGGAACAAGACATTTTTCATAAGTAATTATTTCTTTACTTATTCTGATTCTTTGTTTCGATGAAAAAACAATTTTTGATTGATTATATTTTTCTTTTAGTGTTATTTCCAATTGTATTCACTTACTGGTTCAGGATCTTGAAACTGCTTGTGAATCTTCATTAATTACTATGATTAAGGTATGAGAGTTGTGTGTCAGAAAATTAGAAATTGGTCTTTTACTGTCCAACTTTATTTACAGATGCAGTGGAGTTCAGTTGAAAGTGTTGGCGATCAAAGTGGTTACGTCAGTAACATAATAGCTCATCTTCGTCAAACTATACCCATAATTAGAGACCGACTATCGTCTTGTAGAAAGTATTTTACGCAACTCTGTGTTAAATTTGCCAGGTTAGAAAAAGTATTTTTAGTTTATTAATATTTTAATAATCAAGATTAAGTAATTTAAAGAAAACAATTTTTTCCGCAGTTCCTTCATTCCGAAACTTGTTCAACAATTATATAAATGCAAGCCACTAAATGCAGTAGGAGCGGAGCAGTTATTACTAGATGTTCACATGCTCAAAACTGCCCTCTTGGAACTTCCGTCTACTGGATGTCAAGTTCAAAGAAAACCACCCGCGACTTACACAAAAGTATGTGCATTTAGAATAATTGTATTCAATTAATTTACCTATGAAAAAAGTAATTAAATTAACTTATAAAAACTATTTTTTAGATCGTTGTTAAAGGAATGGCGAAAGCTGAAATGATTTTAAAAATTGTAATGTCCCCCACTGAAAATCCAAGTGCCTTTGCCGATCAATGCAAGAAACTTCTTCCAGATCTTCAAACTCCCGAATTTCAGAAAATTTTGGAAATGAAGGTATTTAAAAAAATTATTTTTTTTTTTATAAATTTATAGAAATTTACCCTTTCTCTGTAGTTTTTTAATTAGATATTAAAATTTTAATTTTCTTTTTAGGGATTGAGGAAAACTGAACAAATACAGTTATTAGAAGAATTTAAGCAACGAAGTCATTCTGAAGGCGTTTCAGAACCAAAAAATATTGTTCAGGACAGTCCAGAACATGAGGCGGGCAGAATCAAGAGACTGGAAAAACTAATTAAAAAGAGAATTTAAATTTGCACGAATTGTGTGCACTTTGTAAAATATTTAATTTGTAGATATTCGTTTAATATATAGTTATTTAATATTTTAATGTACTTAAAAAATTTCTTTTACAATTCACAGCAAAATAGTTAAAAAAATCTACTTTAAGGAATTATCAAAATTAAATTCGTATTGTCTTTTTTACAAATTTTTATTTGCTTTACCAGAATGGTGTACAATATCCAACCTATTAACCTTGCTTTTGGGCAAGTTCCTTCGCCTTTGCCTTCTCCAATTTCGTTATCCTGGCGGTAGATTTACTGCCAAGAAGACCACCACCCCAGTGACGTCTGATCTCATCGTACCTATCGTTGAAGTTGGTCTTGATTGCCTCAACGACTTTAGTGAAGTTTGCTCTGTCGCCGGAGTCAACCTGTAAACAGATCAAAATCAAGGGTAAATAAATAATTATAAAAAGGTCATTTTAGAAAACTTTCGATAATATTCAAGAGAAATCAGTAAAATACTTTTTTTATATCACAACTAATCATTGGATTGGCTCTAGTATTCTTCATCATATTTTTTTGTGTGTAGTTATAATAAAAAATAACTGTTCGACAAATTACCTGCGTAAGAGCAACGGCAGTGCATGTCTTGCGCCTGACAAGTCTTCCCAAACGAGCTTTTCCTTTTACGATGCAGTATGGAACGCCCATCTTTCTGCAAAGAGCTGGCAAAAATAGGACAACCTAGAAAAAAATAAAATTGTTAAATATTGCCACAATAAGGTAAAATTTCATTTTCTTAATTTAATAATTTATCAGAGTCAAGTCACATCCTACAGACAAAAACTATTTATTTAGTTAATGTCCTCAGGTGAAGAAATTCAAACATCATTTAAGTAATTATTGTTCAAGTATAATTTTAAGCAAATATATTTAAATACCTCAATGGGATCGACATCGTGGGCGATAACAACAAGTTGAGCTTTTTTCTGTTCAACAAGAGTTGTTACGGCATTTGCTCCGCTCCTCAACACATTTGGCCTCTTTGTAGGCACATCTTCCTTTTTCTCAGCTTTCTCTTCAGCTCTTGCTTTTAGTCGTTGCTTTTTAGCTGCAGCTGATTCTGGTCTATATTTTTCCAATATTTTAAACAACTGCGTCGCTGTTTGTTTGTCGAGGGTCTGTGTAAATTGATTGATTGGTGGTGGCACCTTCAATCTTTTGGCCAAGACAGATTTTTGTCTTTGAATTCTAATATATTTGGGCCATTTAACGAATCTACTTAAATCGCGAGAAGGTTGGATATCTTGACCAATTCCAAAGTTTCTGGTTCTTTTTTCAAACAAAGGATTAGTTTGTTTTTTCTGTTCAACTTTTTTCACAGCTAAAGGAGCAGCTGCTACTTTCTTTCCTACCTTCTTCTTCGGCTGAAATCAATGAAAATTGAAATATAAATTTTTTTGGGATTATATGTCAGACAAAAAAGTAGTGTCTTTACATATTCATTGAAATTATATTTGAATATACGTATAAACAATCTTTAGCTAAAAAATAAAGTATCGTTTATAAGTATTTAAAGTTGAACAATAGAAAATATAATTAAATTCTTTTTTGTTTTATAGATATTACAAAAATACGATCACGCTATCGTATTTCTCAGTTTTGATACAAGAAAACAAAATTTGAGGTTAAGTTCACTTTAGAGTTAAAGAAATTAAACTAATCAGTATCAGTAAAAAGTTAAAAGTTAGTAAAAATTGCTTACAGTATAAATAGAAAAATAATTTATTTGTTACTCAATTCTTATTTAACAAAAGTAACAGAAAATTGATGATACAACATAAATATGACAAGAGACATGCCAGATTTAGAGCTAATATATGAATGTCACAAATATGCAGTGAACAACAAATATAATAATTTTAAGAAATTACACTAAACTTACCTTCTTTTGCACCATTTTGCTTAAGGAAAATCCAAAGGATTCCTTCTAAATTTATGGAATATAAAAGAAATAACCTCGTTGCCAAAACAGCAACGATGGCGGCCGAACGTGAAAAGAAAAAGAAACTAACCTCATTTGACACTTGCGCCGCTCGCGCTCTGTCAGTTAAGGTTTTTTTTACATCCAACCTTTTCTAACCAATTGCGGGTGTCTCTTTCTAATAAAGAACTTTTGCTATTGGTTAGAAAAGGGCTAAAGGCCGACACACAATAGTTTCGTGAACGAGATGCGTGAGATAGAAAAGGAAACAAATATAGATCCGTCCTTTTCTAGCTTAAGGCGGTCGTCACCTCGCCGATTCTGAGTATGTCCCCGTCGTGTTAGGCTGCGGTTACACCTCTGCAGGCAGCCTGCCTGCCTGCAGGTTGTCATGGTAACGTACAAGAGTAAGAGAGTCAGTGACTTCAAACTTCTTTCTTACTCTCGTTGCTCCTGCCTGCGCAGGCAGGCAGCCTGCAGAGGTGTAACCGCAGCTTAAGCAGTTTTTTAAGGGTGCGATCCCATGTGAACAGATACCTACGTCGACCGAAAGCAGAAAATCTGCTGTAATGGGATCGACCCTAAAGGCGCACTCACAGCTTTGGTAGAGCAACTAAAGTAAGGGAGAAAAAACATCATTTGAATTGTCTGACTCTCTTACTCTTATGTAGTTACCATGACAACCAGGAGGCAGGCAGCAACCAAAGGTATGAATGCGCCATAAGGTCATCTTTCTTGCACTCGTGAAATTCTGTATTGCTAATTTGCTTAATTTGCTTTACGTTTTCTGCTTAACATGGGATTGCACCCTAAGGCTGGAGTCCCATGGTAGCGTTTTGTAACTAGGCAATGAGTGCAAATATAGCAAACCTATATCTGTATCTCTCTCACACTCATGGCCTAGTTACAAAACGCAACGCAAAACGCTGTCATGGGACTGCACCCTAAAGCTGATTCTACACTTACCCAGCGCTCCGCTTTTCCGTGGCGCTTTGCGTGAGATAGAAAAAAACAGAGACTATCTCTATCTTTTTCTGTCTCACGCGAAGCGCCACGGAAAAGCGGAGCGACTGGGTAAGTGTGGAATCAGCATAAGGGTGGAGTCCCATGACAGCGTTTTGCGTTGTGTTTTGTAACTAGGCCATGCGTGTGAGAGGGATAGAGATATACGTTTGCTATATTTGCACTCATGGCCTAGTTACAAAACGCAACGCGAAACGGTGCCATGGGACTCCAGCCTAATGCTGATTCCACACTTACCCAGTCGCTCCGCTTTTCCGTGGCGCTTCGCGTGAGACAGAAAAAGATAGAGATAGTCTCTGTCTTTTTCTATCTCACGCAAAGCGCCACGGAAAAGCGAAGCGCTGGGTAAGTGTGGAATCAGCATAAGGGTGATGTCCCATGGCAGCGTTTTGCGTCGCGTTGTAATGAGAGAGAATGCAGCAAGCAAACGTATATTTGCATCTTTTTCTCTCCCATTACGACGCAACGCAAAACGCTGTCATGGGACTCCACCCTAAGAAATATGCATGTAGAAAGATATTGGAGAAAGGCCTTTAGAAGAGTGGAGGAAGCATGCAGACAGATGTAACTTTTTAACCACTTTAACATGTGAGAAGAAGGTTACGTTTAATGTTATGATTCTTGTGCGTTTAATATGGATATCAAATCTACATAATTACATGAACATAAGTATATAAGTATAAATCAAGGAGTATATATTTCTCAGTGGTAAGATATTTAATGTAGTTGTAGTATTTAATGTAGTTAAGTAAAGCGTTGATATAAAACGATTGCACACTTTGAATAGTACATGTAAAATTATCAAAATAAGTAACAAAATATATTAACGCAGAAAGAATTATATTTTTTTAACTATGTAAATAATTCTCGACCTGATGAGTCTAACATTTTTATCATTTACTTAATTGAACCACCGGCGACCAATAAGGCTTACGCGTGAGTTTCCTTGGCCCCGCGTTCAATTTACATTTATGTTTTTTATTTATTTACATAATGTTTATATTACATATTATATACATAATGTGACGCTCCACGAGAAAAGGGACCTTATGACAAGAGTAAATAAGGTCCCTTTTCTCGTGGAGCGTCACATATATATACCACTATGCCATCTTGGACTTAATTGATAATTTTTGAAAACTTCTATTTAAGTTTCCGCCGGAATCTCGAGGGAAACTTCTCTGAATCTATCAGTCAGGGAAGTCATGGAAAAGTCAAGGAATTTTTTTGGTCAGGGAAAAGTCAGAGAAATTTCGATACATTTAAATAAAAATAAAAATTTTTATTATCGTTTGTTTCTATCACTAGATATTAATTTATTGTTAAATATGTCAGTTACCATATTTTTGTTTCAAGCGTTTCAAGAAAGCAAAAATAAAATTAGTAAAAAGTCAGGGAATTTTTTTCTCAATCCTTGTTAGACACCCTGTCAGTGGAAGGTACATTATTTTAAATTTTAAGATTTTTTAAATTTTGGACATTTTTATGGAATAAATAATAAATTTCTTTTATTCCGACAGTAATAAAAGTTACGTTGACATGGAGGTAATATTAAACTGTAATATTTCAATATATGAGATACCTACTTTGTTTTTTAAAAAAAAATTTCTTATGGCTTTTCATAAGTATTTTTCCTTGCTTATTTTTTTAAAAAAAATTCTCAGTTCAAAAGTAATATTACGTGTAATATTACATTAATATTCCGTTTAATACTAAGGTAATTTTACTTGTAATATTACTATATAGTGGATGAAATTTTAATATCCCATAATAAGATCACTGTAATATAACAGCGTAATATTCCGAATATGATATTAAAGTAATATTACATGATGCTTGGGTATTTTTTAGAATAAAAAATGTTTTAATTACTGATAACTTACAAAACTGCATAAAAAGAAAATTTCCATTAAAAATATTAGAAAACAGTGACGTGTCTCTCATTGTGTTTTTATTACATCCAGAATGGTTAATAAACATAGTTTTTGGTGGCAAACGCGGTTTTATAAAATTGAAGGTGAATCTTTAAGAAGCAAGGTACTACTATATCATTAAACGTAACTTATATTTTTTGTAGCTTAGGTCTCTTTCTTTAGAGCCCCTGAAATATAAATAAATACGTCCAAAAACCTCGTAGTCATTAAAAATAAAAGAAGTTGAGTAATTTTCTTTGGTTCAAAGAAAATACAAAGTACGGTTTGTAGGAGTTATTGGAACGGAACGGTCCTCCACTGCGTTTGTATAATTGATATTTTATTTCCGATATTGATAAATATAGATAGTCTGCGCTTCTGAAATTAGATTGGTTTGTAAAAATCATCTTTTCCCTAGATGAATGCATTACAGACTGTAGAGAGGGGTCACTTCAGGTCGAAAGTTCGCCAGGGCAATCTATAGATAGAGTCTCGCCTGTCCTGACAGGTGAAACGAGATGAAATATTCAGTCGGATTCGCGCGACTGAATGTCAATCTGTCAACTATCCTGCAGACTCAGAAGTACATTGAGTGCAGTAGCAAACATTAAGCGACGTCGACGCTGCCTCCAATTCCAGCAGTGATGCCGCTTACACGCGCATCCGCTTGCCAAATAGGCAACGAATTAACCGAACTTTGAAATGCTTTTAAAATTTCAATAATACATGTCTGACCCATATCCACCCCATCCCTTTAATTTCCACCCAGACAATGAGTTTGACAACAGTATATACATACATACATATCCCTTAAAATAACATCTTTATAAATTCCGATGTAGATATTCCGACGAAAAATTATGGGGCGGTTATTAAGAATTTAATCAATTTTATTGTTACCTATGCGCGCCCTGAAAAAACCTGGTCTCAAATATGAGACTCTTAGGTGGCGCCATGTTCTATGACGTTTAACATTGTCTCATTTTTAGCTGCAATAAATATGAGACTGCGTTTTTGTATGTGAACACCACAAATTTCCTCAATGTTTAAGTTTGCAAACTTGAATTTTTTATTTTTAATGCATAGATATGTATATGAGAAACTCAGGAAAAATCTATGTGCTTTTCAGGTTTTTTCACTTAATAAAAAAATAATCTTCATATTGTACGATAATATTAACATTGTTAACTTGAAGAGTATCAAATTGCATAATATTCGTTTAGTTATAAAAATACATTTACTGATGGAAAAGTATGAGAATTTTTTCAATTTTTTCAATTTTTCCTCAAAACTTTCTTATTAATCTCAAACAAATTTTGCTAATTTGAATTCAGTTTACTTCTCACTTTTTAAATCAATGATTCTTAACCATTCTGTCTATTTTAAGCAATTAACGTGAAATCTGTTGAAATTCTCATTGCTTCAGATGAGAAGTACAATTTTCTCTGTAAAAACCTCCTTTAGGGGCTGTCCAAATCGATTTCAATGAGAAAATCACATCGACTTTGACACCCCCTTATAAAGAATACCTTACAGCTCACCTTTGTTCTCTCTAAATTCGAATTAATAAAATTTTACTAATTCTTAGTAGAATTCTACTATAATTGTTGTAATCAGAACTGAGTTAGGGGCCATTCAAGTAATACGTAAGCCTCTGGGGGGGGGGGGATCTTAAAAAAAGTTTACGTAATACTTGAATGGCCCCTTATATTGTATATAGTTATAGTAGAAATGTACTCTATCAGTAAATTCACTGATTGGAGGTGATCCATAAAGCTTGTGATGCTTTAGGGGAAGGGTATCAGTAAAATCATGCTCTATGTTAATCATTAATGAAAAAAGCATCATGACGAGGGGTTAAAACTTCCGAAATTAAGTGTCACATGCTTATTTAAGGATGGCCCCTTAGATCAGTAATTTTGCAAATAATATAACTGTCCCCAGGAAGAAAAAAAGAACAACATTTTTTTCAAAATATTTTTTAGTATTCTTCTTTAATTTTGTACATACATTAGTTTAATATAATGACAATTATTATTATTCATTGCAAGAAAAAACCTTTTATTGAAAGATCCCGCTAAGCTTCTATAGAAAAATTTAGTGATGTTTATGGGTTTATAAAATGGAAATTATCTAGTAATATTTCTTAGAAATATTTTTAATGTCCCTTTACTCGAAATCTTTATGAAAATGTACAAGCTCAGCAGCCGAACCTGTACATTTTTTGTACATTATCTATCTTATACAGAGATCTTTAGTAGATTTATATTTTATATTCCTTCTTGAATCAGTTAAAATATCAAATTATTTAAATCAGTGAATAATTTTTTGCTTACAAATCAGTCAGAATTTACTGATTTATTAGTAGATAACTTTTACTGATAAATCAGTAAATTTTACCTGGTTCAATAGCAGAAAGTTAGTCACTGTTTCAAATAATTAAAAATTTCAATTGATTCATATAGATATGATATTTATATTCTCATAATCATATATAGATATAGTTCTCATAATTTTGACCAAAGCAAATCAGGCTCGTTGTACTCTACAGACGTAGAACCACCCTTACAGGAAATATATTATGTGTTACATTATAAATTTATTGAATCAGTGAAAAGTTACTGAAGAAATAATGAAAACTCTTCCATCAATTCAGTAGAAATTCACTGAGAATCAGTGATTCAGTTTTACTGAATATTAATAAAACAGATTAACTGGTTCATTTAATAAAAAAATCGCAATCAGTGAAATTCTATACTGAAGAAACAATGAATTTTTACTGATTCAAATGTCGAGTGTAAATTAGGATTATATTATGTACTACTTTCAAAAAATGTTATTGCAAATTCTTTATAATATTTAGTTTTAATGCAGTACACATTTTCCAAAGTCGAAAAATGGTAAAACATATTTTAAATATAATATTATTTATTATAATAAAATTATTATTTATTTATTTATTATTATTATTATTATTATTATTATTATTATTATTATTATTATTATTATTATTATTATAAAAGGTTAAGAAATATGCAATTTACATGAAATTAGGAAATAAAATTACCAACAAAGACCCAAACAAGATCGGACGCAATGTTTACGCGTAATGTATAAAAGTCTGTAAATGTTCAAGATTCATTACATTTTTATGTCTACAATTGGAGGATGGAGGGAGGGGGGGGGGTCCAAAATCTGGAAAAAGAATTCCACGTGGTATACATATATGAACGGTCTCTGTAAAACATTTAAAAAATTAAGTAAAATATATAATTTTTTGAGTAATGAGAAGGCTTAGATGCGGTATCTAATAATACCGTATCTAGGCCTTCTCATTACTCAACAAATTAATTAATACGGTCAAACAAAAACAAAAATTACAAAAAAATAAAATATATAATAATTATTATTAAATATTTGCTTCGTTGGTAATATATTTACCGCCGAAAAAAATATTCTTGTTTTAAGCGGATTCCTCTTATTTTTATGCGCATACGAGGGGGTATATACTCCCGTATTGGAGTGCCCAGTAAGAATAAGCAAAGATTAAGAAGCATTAAAAAAATTCTATCCCTTTGAATTCCATTTCTGTCCTATGCTTCTGAATTCCGCGACAGTAGTTGAAATAAGTTTACAATTTCAATCCTTTCAAATGCTCATACAAATATAGTATATAATAATATAATACTAATATTGTTGACATTGCATAGAATGTTCAATTACTTTCAAATAACTGCACTCATGACTTTATTTGCTATTTTAAAAAGAAATAATTATTAAATTATCAGTTAAGAGGGTTAAAAGTGTTTAAAGGTCTCTGAAATTTTTAGGTTAAAATTTATTGTCTAACAGAATAACGGCCCTGACTCGTTTAAATGACGTAAAATTGGTAAACAATCAATTTTTCAGCAAGTTTTTCTTTCAACACAAACACTTTTTACAAAATCTGCCAACGTATGTATCTTATAAATTACAAAAATCCAGAAGATTGCTTGAATTCATGCAGAAACGCGGTTCCAATGAAAAATTGAAAAGTGATGTAATGACAGGCTGTAATAATTTCGGATGGGATTAAAAAGCATTCAGAAAAAAATGTTGTCTTTGTTAACAATTACAAGCAGAATTGAATAGCATTCATTTCTAGACGAAACGTGGTCCTATCATGGTATAGAAAAGTATTGGACAGAAATGGCATTCAAAAGTATTGGATAATTTCTACTACACCATATACAGAGTTTGAATTATTTCAATCCTTTTCAATTCATCGCTTCTTACTGGGCTGTAATACCCTGTAATACTTGGTAATAAGTGTAATTTTAGCGTAATAAATGTATTGGAGTGTACACGTTTTCAACCAGTAAATACCCCCTCGTGCGCATATTTTCCTCTTTAATATGGCTCGCGTCTTCTTATTTTAAGAATAATAAATGTCTTCTTATTTATTCTCGACGGGGTATTTACTTGTGTATTAGGAAAATTTAGTGTATTAGAGTGTATACACCATTTTAATCAGTAATTACCCCCTTGTTTATTCTCTACGTTAGAGTATTCCCTCTTAAAATAAGAGGATATATATATCAGGACTCTCAGATGGAGAGTAATATTCTTAATTCAAGAATAAAAGTTAAGAGGATTTTAGAAGAGGAAGATTCCTCTCAAAACAAACATATTTTTTCAGTGAAAATGAAAAATAATAATGTCGGAAAATCATATAATTATAGTGGACTTTGAAATATTAACGTATACATGTTGGTTTTAAATTTCAACGTCTGTTTTTCGTTACATTAAATATTCTGCATAGTTTATTATAAAGCGTTTTTAAATTGTTTAATCAGATATTATTAGGGGGGAGGGTGTTAACGACGATTCGACTTTTTCTTTGAAGCTTTGTGTGAAAGTCGCATCAACTTTTTGACAACTTTTTAAAGTTTAATATATTACCCACTAACTTAAAATTATTAATTTCTGCATGTCATGTCATTCCTCCTAAACCTCAAATTGTAATAAACTTACGATGGAGAAATATGACGAATCTTTACTCTTATGTGATCATGATTATTGCCCGAAAGCCACTATCAAATCAAGGCTTTCTGAGCAACAATCAAAAGCATCAAGAGTATGTTTGTAGGTTTTGAGTCGACCGTAATTGATGATCCTGAAACATTGGTTGTATCTAAAATTATATACATACCGTATATTTATATCCAATAATTAAAAAAAGAAAGAATGTACATTATTTTCAGATTTTACTAGATGTTAGACATGCATTCATCCTAAATTGTTTATTTTTACCATGTTTGAAAACAAAAAATATTCCAAGACAGAACAGAACAATACAAAATGGATCCTTCGGATTAAATGATTCTGAGGAGATGTTTTGATAGACTGTATATATGTATGTAAACTTATTATTACAAATAGGATCTGCGGATCTAATGTTTTCATAGAAAAATTAATTGGTTTGCATTAGATATTCTAAGTGACAATAGAAAACGACAGCTGAATTAAAAAAAAAATTTCAATGATATATTTTTGCTTATTATATATATATATTATGTGAAACCTTATTATATTTCACAAGAGATGAGATAATAAAAATAAGACTGCGATGATCTCGTGAGAAAGGAAAAGTTATATAGTTATACGTAGAACTGATTATGCATATGACACTCGTATTACTATAAATTTATTTCTATAGACTAAAGAAGATAAAGTAAAAAAGAATGCAACTTCCACAAAAGCAAAATAAATTATAACTATAAAAAATATCTAGATTTTCAATGAATTTAAAGAATTATAATTCAAAATATATTATTTTTCACCCCAAATGTATTAAGCACTATGATATTTAATGTAGCTATCTATTCTTTCACTGGAATTATATTTTTGACCCAATAAGTTTAAAAATTAAAAGACAATGCAATATATATTTAAATTTAGAATATATACACACACGTCCATTGTGTATTCTAATAATCGTATTTTTGAATGAAAAAATAATGTGTCAGGTTTGTGTTTTAAAAAATATTACATTTAAAAAAGGTTTTTTAAATATAAGCTATATAATTATACACTTAACAGCTTTGCAAACTACTATAATTCAAATTCTCTATACGACTAGAAATAGTAATTTAAAAAATGAAAAATTGGAATCTCAACTCTAATATACAGACATTAAAAGAATATTTATGACACTATTATCCCACCTGTATAGAGAGTCGGTATACTTGTTTTGCCATCAGCAGTAATTAAGAAATGAATGCAGTCTATCTGGATGAACAGTAGAAGCAGAAGTGGATAGTGGAGTTTTGGAGACGAGACTTGTGCGGTGCGCTGGTCCAAAGTCGATCAAGTCCCTGAGACAAATGATAACTATGACTCTCGGATTTGTGCAAACTGCACTGATCGAGTCTTGTAGTCGAGAGGGTTAAATTCTAATGGAGGGGGATGATGTTTTGGTTTCTGCGCATGAGTCGCACAGGTGAGATAATACCATCCCTTTCAAATCAAACAACAATAATTCCACCTGTCTATTAGAGTGTCTCAAATCTCCAGCATGGAATAATTCGATTATTTGAAATCTAGAAGAAGGCATTTCTATGTAAATGCGTCAATCATTCGCTAATTTCACTTCCAGACGTTTATATGACTTTAGATTCATGAAATTACTGCAAATAATTGAATTTACCTGCCGAGAAATATTACTTGATTACGGATAATCGAACTATATATGCGAGATTGACTGACACTTATCTAAAAGTATATTTACTTATATATACTCACATATTATATGCGTATATTATGATACATAATTTCTGAAAAGCTCATCAAACGAAAAGGGAGAAATATATAAGATTTAAAGTTATAATATTACCTTATAATATATCACTGTAATATTAAAGAATATATGTATGCTTGAGAAATGCTCTCTAAATCTGAATATGTGAAAATGCACTTATTTGCAAGTTATAAGTCGCTCTTTCGTTCAATAAGTGCATCATATACACTTGTATTTATAATTGTATTATTATTAATCGAGAACACGACTTTTATAACTTATAATAAATGAAATATTTCACATATTCAGATTTAGAGCTGAGTAATATAGTTCTCGACTTTTCGTCAAACTTTTTTTTACATATAATTATAAAATTAATATGAATTAAGTTATAAAGAGAGTTAAATATATAATTAAATAAGTTTTTCAGAGCACCAAATATCAAGGCTTTATATAAATTTAAATGCCAGGGCAGGACAGAGAAATGTGCGAATCTTCTGTTTTCCAGAAGGCAGTCGGCACCACAGTAAAAATTCAATGTTGAAACCTCCAAAATCCAATGCGTAAATTTAGCATTGGCATGTATAGGTATTTATTAAATTATTTTTGAAAGCGTAATAAAAATGATTGATCAAATATCATATATTTAAATGATTAAATACAATCTTATATGCAAAACACATGCTTCACTGTAATTGAGATGAAGCTTTTCTATTCCACAGCACAACTTGTTGCACGCGAGTATTATCAAATATATATATATAACTATATATTCTATAAAATAAAGCGCTGCTTGAAACTTGCTATCCGAGACGAATAATGATCCTAATATTACGGACCTTCTCAATAATATTGAGATAATATTCGTTTAAGGCGTTGTAATGTTTGAAACAATAGTTTCAGATTTTAAAACATACTTAATTTTAATAATAAAAGTTAATTTATTAAGAGCACATACAAAGGCTTATACAGTTATATACGTTTCGGTAATAGCTTTTATTATATATTAGGTAGAAATTTGTCGATGAGTATTACTTACTTTTTTCCAGTATATTAGCTGTGGAGTTGAGAGTGATATAGTTTTACTTCGCTGGTTGAATATGTAAAAATATGACATCCTGCATCCTGTATACGTGTTTGCGTTCAAAAAACGAATTTTTAAAAGTTCAACGGATTTACTTGCAACACATCACTGCGAGGGGTTTTCGGGATTGTTGATTACGAATAATTAATTATGATATCGGTTTTCTAAATTTTGAAAATACACGCTTTCTGCGATCGAGTATCAAAGATTTTTCTACTTAACATACGATTGCATTTTATACATATTTCTTTTAGTGAAAATATTAACCGAAAGTGAATAAATCCAATATTGGATCTGCTATTTTAAATTTTTAAAAACTAACCTCGTATACGTGATCAACGACCCCAAAAACTCCCGTGTAATATTCAAGTGAATCTGTTGAAGTTTTCAAAATTTTGCCGACATATTGAATCCGCCATTTTGAATTTTAAAAATTTAACTTCCAAATATTAATTTTTTTCAATTTTTTAAAATAAACAAAATTTATTTTAAAGCTTCTAAAAACAACTTTATAGATATCTAATTATAAAAAAATTAATGACCTTATTTTCATTGTAGGTTAATAGAAACTGCATTTTTATTTTTAAAAAATATGAATTTTGATGATTTATTAATGTTCATCAGTGACTTTGTTTTTTAAAATTATCAACTATAAAAGTTTTTTTTACTTATAGGGGTCGTCCATAAACCACGTAATTAGCCCCATTTTTTGGGAATTTTGACCCCCCCCCCTCCCCATGTAATACGCTATTACATGTATTAGCGCCATTTTTTCCTCTTGTCGTAGTCAATTGCTTGACCCCCCCTCCCCCTCAAGAGGCTACGTGGTTCATAGATAGCCCCTTATACCATGAAGCCTGGAAAAAAATTACATAACATTTAATTTTACGAAAGTAAATAAAAATCACGCTGAGCGTGTTCCACTATATAGTATTGCACTCTGAGAAAAATTGCCATTGAATCAATAGCACCCATATTCGTAAGCGTTCAAAAGCAAATTGATTAACTTGCAGTAATATTTGTTCCTATTGAATAAATTGAATCAAAGAAGGCAGTTTCTGTTTCAATAGCAGTTCTGTCCAGTTACTGACCAGTATCTAGAAGAACTCTCCAGTGACTGGTCAGTATATACTGAGTTGAAATTTATACCTGGGTTCTCTTGAAAACTAAATATAGTGATGTGCAGATTAATATAATTTTTATTTAATTTTTTTATTATGGAGATATCAAATAATACTATATAGATTTTCTTTCACTTTATACACTGAAAAATATTTGATTCAAATATCCGATTAATTGATTATTATCAAGTAAATATTTACTTGAATCAAATAATATTTATTAGAGTCAATTAAATGGTATTTGAACCAATAATTTCAGTATTTAAAACAAATATGAATTGAACCATTTAATTGACTCTTGACTCTAATAAATATTATTTGATTCAATTAAATATTTATAATAATTGATAATAGTCAAATAATCGGTTATTTGAATCAAATAAATTTTTTTTCAGCATATCCAACTCAAAATTAAAAGAATATGTAATCTGAATAGCACTACAGGAATATGTTCTTCTCTTATACAATTATAGATGAGGGTTTCCTAGTTTTTTGCCCTCGAAAATCCTGTAGCTGACCTGAGAACCGACACGTGTAGACAAGATTATTCAACTATACTATATTTAAGAGAACAAGTGAAGATAAGATGGAATTTTCGATTCACATTTATTATAGTTCATTGCAACAACAAAATTTCTGAAACTACTTTTTCGACTCTTCTTTACTATTTTAATGTCTTTCTAATAATATATATAAATACCTATTCTCGCGATTTCAATCAGTGAAATTTTACTGAAAATTTGTTAAAAATTATTGAAATAACAGTCGTTTTCAGTTTGAGTAATAAGAAAGTTCGGATAATCGAGGTTCTACTGAATAACTAATTCAAATTGGTAAGATTTTTTACTTCTTCCATGGGTAGTTTTTACTAATTATAAAAAACTTATTTGTTTAGGTACCAAACTAATAATTATATATAAGTATACCTACTAACCAATTTTAATAAATTAATTTAGAATATTATTTAAGAAATCTTAAAAAATGGACGCATAGGTATACTGCGCGGGTACAACCATATAAAAAGTTTTAATAACTTTAATGCAAAAAGATTGGGTTTTTAAAATATATTTTACCGTTTATTGCTCAATCGAGCTTACATGATTATTTTGTAAAAAAGCATAATATATCCAATTCAATTTAAATTATGAATCAACTCTGAATATTAAAAATTAATTAAGAAATGACAGTGTTTTTTATAGTTGTTATCTAATATTTCACACTATTTATCAATGTACAAATGACACTGAAATTAAGTTAACCGAGAAACGCGTACTATAATGTTATAAGATGAAGCGATAAATCAAACATACTCAGAGACATACTCAGAGACAACTAAATTCCAAACTGTACCAATCTCGTGTTTCTCATAGTTGTCTACAGCTTCTTTATCCCTTCTCTTTTCTTTCGACCACTTTTATTCTCTTTCACTCTTTTCTCCCCCCCCCCCTCCCCCTTGGTGCCATCTCCTTTAGCTGAGATTTTCAAGATGAAAACTACCTCCCTTTTGAGACAAGACATTTTTTTATATATGCTTATAATTTGTGAATAACGCATTTCCTATATGCGTTCAGTTCTGTATAAGCTGTTTCAAAAATTCAAGTTTTTATTCTCCTATATTATATTCTCAATAGTAAGGGCTTTTGAATAATTTGACTCAGTTTTTAAAAGTTTCTTGCTCACTTATTTACAGAATCACACACATATATATATAAATTGATATTGATATCCTGAAACCACCGAAGAAGAAAGAATAATGCAACTTTCAAAGAAGAAATCATATTTATCTGTAATCTGTGCAATATATACAAAAATCTAATATAACTTGATCAAATTGATCTGGAAGTTTCACATTTGTTATATCTTCCAAGTTTCTTGATTATAAATTGATAAGAATTTGATGGAGGTGAGCATCAGAAGAGAAAATCATTGTTGTAGTATTGGAAGCAGATACATACACATATATTTTTCTTTTTATGTTTTTTTTTTTATTTTTATTTCATTTAAGTAAATTTCAACTTTCTTACTTCTAGACCATGCATTTTGAAAAACAAAAGAATCCTCTGAATTTAATTCTATATGCGCAATCTATAAAAATACTACAATAAATATAGTCAATACTGCGAGTAAAAGTATATACGACGAGATTTCTTTAATTCGTCACTGAAATTTCACTAAGAAGCAGTAAAAATCACTGATGGTTTTCAGTGAAATTCGACTGACTTTAAATATTAGAGAAATTGGCACTGATTTAGATATATTGTAACATACATATAACGAAAGCTTATATAACTGATGAGCAAGATCATATACCAAGTAGCACATACATTATATGTATATTGTTACTCTAGTACAAATATGTAATAATATACTATGCTGTTGAAGAAGTAAATTTTACAAGGTATTGTTTATTTATGTTGACAACGTTTCGATGCCTTCTAGTTGAAAAGAATGTTATTTACACACTAAAAAAAAAGTTTTACTTTCAGCCTGTTTTCGAGGCTGAATTTAAGGTGTAAACGGAGTCAGCCCCATTAAACAAGGACAGACTTATGTGAAATACATGGGCTGAATTTAAGGTGTAAACGGAGTCAGACTTTTTTTTTCCTGTGTATTTAATATTTAATTCCATTTATGACCTGACGAGGATGCTAAAATAAGGCATCGAAACGTATAAAGGCCTTGTAAAATTTACAAATATTATTATAAATTTAAAACAAATTAAATCCATAATTAATGAATATAACGTGTCATTTTATTCAAAATGGTTTCCTTGAAGATAAGGTTTTTCTTATCCCTATTCTGTGATCACCATGGAAACGAATTTAGGTTGGTGCGACCAATATCCCCTATGATTGAATCGGGGGTGCTTTACTCTACATTGGGGTCGAGTTTAAATAAATATTCAAATAATATCAGCACACATAGGTTAAACAATATGAGGTTAATTTTGGTCAGTACTATACATTTATTAGACTCTCAATAACTCATCAGCACATATCAATATTTAAATTATATATCAAGTCTGCCATTAACTCAATATAGTAAGTCAAAATTTTCACTAATTTTTAGGAGAATTTAACTATTTTATTTAGTAGATAAATAAAATTTCTTTTACTTCATTTCTAAACTAATCTAAAACTTCAAATTATTAGAAACCAAAATTAGTAAAATTTATACTAATTTGAAATAGTGGACGGCTTTTTAATAATAATTATAAATACGTTTAGGATTTACACCTAAAAAGATATATATATATATATATATATATGTATATATATTTATAACTATGGAGCCTACAATATTAAACTTTTTATTTGGGTTAAATATTGGAACATTTTGTGGCAAGGGAGGAAAATTGGCAATTCCTGATTGAGGGCGAAGTTGGCCGCACA